AGCACAGTACATGTATCTAGTTCATTTTGAGGCGCTGTCATGTTGCAATTTGTTTTTTTAACACTCTTGCACAATGAAAGGTTATGTGTCTTATTCACATCTTGAGGTAAGAAACTGCATTTACCTGCCTGGTTTCATCTATTGTGTAAAATCCAACAGGCCTCTTGCACTCCATGTGCTTGTTATTGATTGCATTTTGTAAGAGCACTCAAGATCAAATATTTCAAAAATTATGTGGTGAAATTGCAGCTCAGCGAGTTATTTGTGAAAATGTCAGTTAATATTTAATGATTTGTGTCTTGTTTGTCAATCCTTAAAATGAAAAAGTAATGTGAAAACACTTACAAACTACATACATTTGTACATTATAAACAGCATGACCCATTTGATTGGTGAATTGCTTCCATTAACCAACTGAAAATGTCTCATGTTAATTAAAGTTGAGTGGGGTGAGTCTGAGTACATGTGTAATGGGGAACCTGGTGTGTTAGGCTTTGACAGATTTTTTCTCCTTTCAGCAGACAGACGAAACTTGCACAAAAGACACTCTGTATACATGTACGTACTGTACATGCATGTCTACTGCTGTACATGTCTGGTTCATGTTGTACGGTAGTTCTGTGGGGTACCGGGATGCTCCAATTTAACACACTTCCTTTTCAGTGGTCCCAACCTCCCTGGGCAACATCAAGTTAGACTTGCCCAAGTTCAGCAAAGTTCTTTCCTTTTGCTCACGAGACGAGCATTGTACATGTAACTCAAGTTTTTGTTTTGGTATGTAAATATTGTCAAGTAAATGAAAGGCATGCCTTTGTTTTGATATGAGACAATAGCACACTGTATGGACTACAGTACTGAAGGGACTTTGTTTCAATCATCTTGTTCCTGTTTTGTAGATTCAGACACTGCATGAACAGACTGCAAGCCAAGTTTAGATTTTCACTCTGCACATTTCCTGATTTGACATTTACAATGTAAAACACATCTGTTGCTTCCAGAAGTGTTTTTCTCAAAATGGACTTGGGAGGATATTTTATTGACTAATCATGCCTGTGCACGTACTGGTAGTTTCTGTATGTACAACACACTTTTAGAGTCACAATGTACATTGTACACAGAATCTCCTAATTTTCAGTCCAAATAAAGTACACAGTTTAGGTTAAGGAGAATACACGAGATTGTGTGGATTCGTAATTTAAGAATTCACGAGGCGCAAAGCGCCAAGTGAATTCGTAAATTAAGAATCCACAAGTTTGCAAGTGTATTTTTCGACTTAAACCATTGCGTCAAAAGAAGTCCAGTGAGTGGAGATGAAAAGACTTGCATATCTCCTGTACTCGAGTCGTGGCCATTAGGGTAATTTACAAGGGAGTTTGTAGAGGCTGTTATACGTAATCAAGCATTGTGGCGTGTTTAGCAGATGTATCGTCACACTTGTAAAACCGGAGAGAAAGTCATTTTGTGTGTAGGTTCCTGTTCCTTGTGTAAACATGGATAGTTTATATGACGATTTTCTTTCTGACTCAAAAGTAGGTTTTGCAATGACGGCGGAGAATCTGACAGTGACAGTGAAGATGCATTGGTAGTTAAGGAAGGAAAGTTTTCCTGCAGACGGTCCTATTAATGCTTCGTCATGGAGAACAATTACAAGTACGACATGTTCAAAGTGTGGATTCCTTATTCCAAATCCACACTTTACTAAAGATTTGTCATTCCGAATCCACACTTTGTGACCAGTGTATCAGATTCGTAGTTCCAAATCCACACTTTTAACAATAGTGTGACGTCACACCGGGTAGCAATGGTTTAATCCGAATGAAGTACGCATTTGTTTATTGCAGCAAACATGCAACTTTTGCTGGTACTAAAAGTATACATGTAGGAAGAGTGGACCATTTGACATCAAAAAAGCGCCCCACCAAATTATTATTAAAAAGCTTACTTGGTTTACAATGCAAGTACATGTACCCGGTACATGTACCGTAGTATCACACTTAACTGAGTAAACTCCTTGTGAAATTATTCCTTCTGGCATGCTGTCGGTAAATTGAGAAAAAAAACCACCAAATAATTTTAAGAAGGTCTATTCCAAAGATGTGTCAAGTGACGTCTTTTGGAAATTTCCATCAATGGTAGTTGGTTTGTAATTGGATGAATCTGTGAATGGCTGCATGCAAGCATTTACACAACACACATGCACGCAAGGTTGCTATATTAGTGAGAATTGAGGATTCAGTGTGTGACATCACTTAACGGTGTACACATGTATCGGCTGAATGAGAATGATGTCTCATGAGAGGGCACAATTCAAAATACATACATTTTATATGACTCGGCAAATGTTGAATTGAAATTGAGATCCAGAATATTGTGCTTTTTTGAAATATACAGCATTCCCAAAAACTTCATCAGGTTTAGTTGTCAAGCACCGGTCTTTAGATTTTAGGCACTTTTGTTGACTTGAAACGAATAAAATACACAGAATGACAAATGGTCCATCTTACACATGTGCTTGATTTCTAATGGCAAAGTGTACTTTATGTACACGTTGTACATGCTGATTGTACGCTTTGTGCGTAATCTCATCAATTTAAATGTATGTAGTCAGTGCGCAATTACACGCATGACCTTCACTCTATGGGAAAGAAACAAATTAATGTACGATATTAAATGTACCATGCTGGTATGAAGCACACGCACAATGTACATTGTACACGTGCATGTTCCTTCTGGTAAGATAAACATATGGAATTACTGAGTATTGTGCTTTTCAATAAAAGAAAAATTTTGCTTTTAAAATTGATGCTGGTACATTTTTACAACATGGTTGTTCAAATTTACTAATTTGCCAGGAGCTATGTGAGTTTCAATACATTGTACATGTACCGTTTCATGTACCGTACCCGTACATGTAGCTGTAACAGGCAAAATGGAGCTAAACCCTTAAGATCAGACCGGACTGGTCTGTGCTGCTTATAAAATTGTTTGCAGTTTGCAGTGCAGTCCTTTCAATTTTGTTATAGAATTGTGATATTGTGAATCCATTAAAAAGTTCACACTATTACATATTTTGATTGATTTAGGACTCTCTACACGTATACTGTCACCTATACTCAAGTAATAGACCTTAAATGCGTTGCGGCCGATGAGGATAATGTTATTTTAATGTAGTAACAGTGAATGCACAAACGGTTTACATGTACATGTACTTGTGCCTACACGTATCAGGCGATACAAACGCCAATCCCTCCAATTTCACCTTAATTCATATAATTTATCAAGGTCTATTGGTTACATTATGTATTTCATGTAAATTTTAAAATCTACATTTGCATGATACATGTCTCGCTCGCTAGATACACGCGCACAAAAATGCTCAGTTTTGATGTGTAGATTTACACGTACCGGGTATATACATGTACATGTATACGTACATCATGTACATGTAGTAAATAACGTTGCCTTAGAGCAAGTTTCGTGTACTTGTAAGTTGTGTTGTAGAATCGCTGTACAAGTAGTACACAAGATCAAAGCACAGTTTTCACACCTGACCACAAGCAAAGCTTTGACACCCACATGCATGTACAGCAGATCAGAGTGTACAATCCAGCACTTGACCTCTGACCCTGTAAAGAAAACAGTGCACCTTGGTTCACACCTTCCCAAACACCTTGTCAATGTCATCCAGGGCGGAAATGTGAAAAAAATATCCTTGTTTGAACTCTAGGTTATTGATTTTGCGAATGTGGCTATTTGAAGGAAAGAAAAAAACGTTCGGCAACTGTAGCCAGAGTGGCTGTCCCATTGCACTAACTGACCGCAAAATATTTGTTAGTTGTTATCCAGGTTCATGTCAGTGTGAAACCCAGTCAAGGTGAAGGAATATTGGCATAGTCATGGCTCACTAGGAGGGGAGCGGTGCTGGGTGATGTGATGGTTGATATCGATTTATTGGTCTGAGGTGTTGTCAGTTGGCAGTTAGTGTAATGAATTGATAGATATGATGCAGATTGATCCCTTGAAGGTGACAATATTGGTGTAATCACAACAGGAGGGCTAAATCAGTGTTGGGGATGTGATGGTTGATATCGATTTGTTTATTAGGGGTGTGATCGAAATCCAATAGATACCGATATGTGTACAATTATTATCTACGTTTGTACAATGTTGTCAATAGTGATGAAATGTACATGTAATTTGGCAACTGATATGGGAGGGCGAAAATGAGGGAGTCTGAAGGGAATTCAACCCCCCCCCCTGTTGCCCCAAAAGAAAACATTGTGTTGTCCAGATATTAGTCCCACAAGAACCCACAAGAACCCACAACAACCTACACCCCCCTCCTCCCCCCAAAAAAAAAGAAAAAAAGAAAAGAAAAGAAAACAAACCAAATTTTATTTTGTAGCACAAGCAAGCTAGGTTTCAGAAACCATTCAAATCAAAAGTGTTATTTTGTGTACAAAAATGCTCTAGATGGTATTTATTGACCAATAAGAGTACCAGTACTTTCTGACGACATCAAGCCAGGTTGAGATGGTGGGTCATTTAACTACGTTGTACTAGTATGCACAATGTTTCTTTTGGGTAAATGTGAGAATTAATCAACGTCCGGTATGTACACGTACATACAAAAGTAACTGGGTGCAAATCTACAGGTCTGTACATTTTGCACTGTCTTGAATACCATCATCACTGAATGTTTGAACAGCCCCTGGGGTACATGTACATGTACAATACCTTTACAATATGTACCTTTGAGATCAGAATATTGTTTGACTCTCCAAATTTTTTACCATAAATTGTATAGGACATATGTGCATTGTGAGGAGAAAACTAGCAACCTGGGCCTCTTTTGGACAAAATAAGACCAACTGTTTAGGCTTGCTACTTGTATCAAGTTCCCACCAGTCAGAAACCCTGAGTGGGTGGGACCAAATTAACGATAGACAGCCAACAGTGACTGGCAGGTACAATGCAACACTACCACTGGAAAAAAATCACCTATTTGAATGACAATCAGTTGCTTCCGTATCAAAAGAGACCATTCTGCATCTGCTGTGACAGCAGGGACGCCAGACTGGGGCATTCTGGTTCTCTGTGCTCAACCGACCAAAACATTCGCTGTGACAATCAGTATCAGATGCGGTGGGAAAAAAGAACAAGAACGGATGGCGTGTGTGTACTGTAGACGAATGCTGGAACTATGAAAAGGATTTGGAGGAGAGCCAAGCGCGGTGGGAGAGTAATCTGTTGGATTGAGCAATTGGATTAAACATTGGATAGATTTGGATTGTGTTGATGAGTCTCTTGTCATTGGTTGGATCTGATGAGAGATGCTCTCTAAAACTATGGATCAGTTGTTGATGTAGCAGTCCATGCACAGGATGAAGTAGTGATGGTTGAAGAAGGTAAAACCATACACAGATTAGTGATAGAGTTCATGTATTGTGATGAGAAGATTCATTCTTCACCACTGATTATAAAACAGGCACTCCATAGTTCTGTATGAACTTGTATGACACATACATTTCAGTAAATGCCTATATCGTTTGGTGAGTCCTCAGAAAGAAAAGTCGTGTCTAAAATACTCACACAGCCATTAATTGACTGAAAGCATGCTCACGTTGAAGGCCTTCTTTGAACAACATCAATTGAATTTTGGAGGTAAAGACGTCACCCGCTTTGCTCAGGATGAACTGATCTGTTTTGAGGAAATGACTCCAGTGCATTGGTATTGTCTGTGAACCTTCATGTTGGTAAAGCAAACACCGTGATGAATACATCAGATTGTGAAACGTGCCCTACAGTCAAGCTTATTATGACCTATCTTGCATTGAGCGTGTCGATTGTGTGCAGAGTTAATAGTGTAGGCTCGTGTTATTCTTTTCTTTTTCATTGCGGATGTCAGATATCGGTCACGTGCATACGTACCGTACACATTGAATCTGTGAAACCGCAAGTTGAGGATCATATTCAATTCTGGATCCTACACATAGATTGGTGTATTAAAACCTGTACATTTTATGTAACGTACTGGTAGCTTGTCACACTTCCCATCAAGGAAGTTGGGGAAACTGGTGAGTTGAAAGTTAAAACATCTACGGGAACAGGTCAAATTTTTTTTTTTTTAGGGTGATACTTGAGATACATGTACCGTCACAGTGTACATGCACATGTACACATGCAATAAGGCCAGTTTGAACTTTATCAAATTTCCAAGCTCTTCAAGGCAAATACGCTGTCCTCTGTTTCGTAAAGAGATCTGTCTTTTTGAGGCATCTTGATTGATCTGTCCCATATACCGTATGTGCCCATGTGTCTGACAAAAATTGTCATCACCTCTACAAGGTCTACCCCTCACATCACATGCTCAGTAACCGTCGTGGAGCCTGACCCAGCACAAATCCGGGGAGGGGGGGGGGGGAATGAACCCCTCAGTCATCGGGGACCAGCTATCACCCATGCAGTCTAGGATAGAGTGACCGGTGCCCTGCTTTATGATTAAACGCTTCCTGTATTACTCTCTGCTTTCCTCTGCAGCGTTTGGCAGGGTCAGCCCCCTAGGCTCCTGAGATGGTGACATCTGAGCAGCCACTGTCAGCTAAAAATAGCTGCCTCATTACTAGCTGTGTCATGTAGTCCACTTGTAATGTACCGGTATGTTAATAGAATGTAGTCAAAAAGCAATGACCACATAGTGTTCATTGTAAATCTACATGCATACATGTATTTCAAAGTGATTTTAATTTTTAATTTTCTGCTAATTTCACGTCAGATGTAATGAGCCCACAAGATCGGTTTTGGTAATGGCTGCGATATTGGAACACAGGCCATAGTTTAACCTTTTACTTTGTCATATTGACTTCTTTTGTCGATGAATATGTGTGTGTATGATTGCTAGTGGCACAGGCACGGTACTGTACATACCATAGTTTGATTATTAATAGGCTCAATAGTTTGATGACTGTATTATATAACAAAAGAGAAAAAAGTAAGGTCTTGACGTCAAACTTGTAATCAAACATCATGTACCGGTACATGTTACGGAAGTTGTTGACTTTTTTGACAATGTGTGGAGTTGTCAACAAAAACCCTTGACCCCAATGACTAAATTCAAGGTATTTGATGATAGTAATACCACAAACACAATGCATAGTGACATCATTGAGTTAAATGCATGTCGGTATATACAGTATTGATATAACATTGAACTTCACATCCTGTCTGTGTTGACTGGTTTACATTCCATAGGCATGGCATCATCATTGTGCCTCATGCTGATATCTCTGCATGCAACTAAACCGGTACTCTGCTGAGGTCAAATCTGTGGGAAGTGGATCCTATTTTTGTTATAGCGTGGAGTTCTGACTGTTGAGTACTTCTGAGGCTATCAATGTAGGGAGGAACTGATACTAGCTGCAGGATTTGGGTTTTGTTGTGTTTCTTTTTGAGAGAGGTTTGACTCTGAAGAAGGAAGTGTGGGTAATGCGAGCCAGGCACATTGGGAATGAGTTGAAAGCAAGTGTACAATAATTGGGGAAAGAAATGAGTATTGGGTATATTGTACATTCTACTCTGTGTTAATAAAAACCCTTGGCAAGTTTTGTATTAATATTGTTTAGGGGTTCAGATTAGAAGAGCAGAAACTGTACAAACGAAGTAGGTATAAATTTGTTTTCAGTATGCCTGCTAAGAATTTGAAATTGGTGTGATATATTTACATGTACTGTTGGTAGAGTGTACCGGTATGTTCAAATGTAGAATGTATTTTTTTGTTTGATACATGTAGAAGCCATTTCTCCACACCCAGAACATGTTTGGACAATGCAGTGCCTCTTTCAACAAGAACACCTTCTCCCTTTATAAAGGCTTTACATATTTTTTAACACCCAAGATCATGCACATTTACAAGCATTTTTATCAAAAATAAAATCAGTTTGGGCAAGCATAGCTTTGAATCCATGGAGCACAGGAAATGCTTGTATTACATTGTATTAAACATTTTGTTACAAAATTAGGGCCGGCTTTGCGCTCGCATTACTTCTGAAGCCTAACCCCCTTGTACCGGCAGGAACCCTGCTAAATCCAACAGAGTCTAATGGGAGTTTCCTACTCAATCCACTGTGCTATATTTCAGTTGTCTGCTAAATCCAACAGAGTCCAACTTCCAAGCGTTAATAATGCGGTTCACTTGCCTGCTGAATCCAGCATTTTGCATCAGGAGTGTAACCGTTTACTGCTCAATCCAATGTTCAGGCTCCATCGGGTATATGATATACATGTAGTTGGATCCTGTTGGATTCAGCAGGATTAGAGTTACATGAGCTCCATCGCCAAATTCTCACTCTCAGCTCTTACTCAAAGTTGGCAGCCCTAAAATTGTAACTTGTGCACAGTTTGTGTTGCATTATACTTTTTGTTCTCAGAGAACAAAACTACATGTACCTCATGCCCTGTAAAGAAATAGTGGTTTTAAACGCTGTACACACGTACATCACATTCCATAAAACCTAATCTTATTATTTTTGAGGATTTAAAGTTAGTTTAGGAGGGAGGATAAGAAGATTTGGATTGTAAGGAATTCCAGGCCATCTTATTTGTTGGCAAATCTTATTTTGTTGAGTGTTGGACACTTGCTGAGTCTGTCTGCACACTAAAAAAGAAAATAAGTTGTAATGCTTATATGCTTTCCATCATGTCAACGTACATTTTTGTATCTCAAAGTGCTTTACAATTACCCTATTTTTCACTGCCTTTCCTCCTCAAATTTTGTTTTAAAATGTAAATTTAACAGGCAAGGTTTCTTATTATAAGGCGTGTGTCACAGGAATTAAAATGACTGTGTTAGTAAAAATTAATACGGAGAGGAAGTGTTGTTCTTTCTTTTTAATTTTATAATGCCAAATCTGTATTAATCCTGCCATTGATCTTGTTAAATTCCTTCATACTCATGTCCGGTACCAACGTGTTGGCTAAAACAAGTCATATTCTTGACCAGTCTTTTTAAGGCTATTTAAATTTGTGGGGACAGACCACTTCAGCTTAAAAAGGATTGAAAAGCTGTTAAAAGTTACAATTTTAATTACATACTGTACATGTACATAAATAGGAAGAATAACAGACTTTATGTGGTCATGTGTGCAGAAAGAAACAAAATGTGAAATGGCTCAGAAAAAGACAGTTTTACATGAATGGATCATAGTACATATGTAGACGTACTGCATTTTGCAATCTGGTTTCATTCTTGTAATCCCAGTGATTTCAATTGCTGGTTTTCAAGGTTGTGACTTCACTGCCTACCATTCTTACAGTATGAATAGACCATGGCCATGTATTTTCACTGGTCTGACCACGCTTATATGTACACGTAGTACAAAATCGTTTTAAGTTAACAAAAGGGACTAATCGTCTTGATTGTACGGACATTTAAGTGAAACCATGCAAGATTTTTCCTTGAAGTCCTCCAGAGGTTGCGCTGTTACTGAGAAAACAATAATGCGAGTATAAAGCACCTAATGATCATTTATCAAATTGCATTGGGCAAGAGCTGTTACCCAAGATTTGAGTTTCCTTTACACAATTGACCTACATGTACATGTATTGCGGTAGAATCGCGTCAATGCAGCTTGTGAAATATTGTCCAATTACATGTATGTACATACAAATGGACGCGGAACGCGCAAAATCTGAGACAAACAAAATTTAGTGTACAAAAACTCCATAGGGTTGTCTAAGGGGCGTGACTAACTCGCAAACAGCGATGTACCTAGTGTATGGTGAATTGTACAAAATTGTACAAAAGTTTAAGCATTACTTTTACATTATACATACATAGAGTAAAGGTATCAAAACCTGTCAGATTTTCACACACAAAAGTTCAGTGTACACACAAGTAAATGTACAGTGTGCAGAGTTCATCAGCAGAGCCATTCTTTTGCACACATGTCAAAAGTTTTTCCCCATGATGTTTGAGGTCTTTTTTTGCTCTTTGGACACTCTGCTTAAATGGTGTTTTAATTTTTTGATAAATTGCTGACTCTCTGCCCCCCTTGACCCATATTGTGTGAAGGTAAACGCTTTTATTGTCACCCTATCACGTAATCAGTCACTGCCAGTGGACCATGGAGGAGCAAGATATCAGCCACAAATACGTCCAAGGGGAATATCGTGTCACGGTGGGATCAGTGTGAAATTAAAACCACCATGTGAATATTTAATTCCTGCATCACGTGTATCAGGAATATGACAGGGTAGACTTCTGGTAGCTTATTGGAGTGATGTACGTACGGTACACTGTCATACAGGAATTACACGCAATAAGATGCACTTCATGTATGTAATAAATTAGATGACTTTTAAGAACCAGTCTACTGGGGTTACCAACAATGTATTGTGGTGCAGTCGCATGGAAAAAGTTAAATAAAGTAAGTGTATTTGAAGTGCTGATTTAAGATTTCTGCTTTCTATTTTATTTGCATCATCAGGCTTCTGACAAGTCGGAGTCGCGATCGCCCTGGCCTGGGCCTCGTAAAGTGACCCTCCAACGCAATGCAGCGGGCTTCGGCTTCACATTGCGACACTTCATTGTCTACCCACCAGAATCAGCTGTAGCCGAGCTGAGCAGGCAAGAGGGTGTGGCTAGCGGAGATGGTAAGGATTATGGGGGAGGGTCATAAAGGATGGTTGGTTGACAGAGGGTTGTAGAGAGGTCTTCAGCTTCAACCTTCGACATTTTATGGTCAACCCCCAGAATCAGCCATAGCTGAGCTGATCAGGCAGGAGGGTGTGGCAGAGATATTTAAGTACATGTAGGATTGTTTTGTTTGGGGGGGGGGCATAGTGGATGGGGTGGAGGAGTCTGAAAGGGTTTAGAAATTTAAGGGACGGGGCCTGAAGATCACATACATGTAGGTTGATAAAATTCTCTTGTGTCGAACCTCTGTGATGTACATGTTTTTATGTTCATGTACAATGTACATGTTGTTGTATGTACATGCATGTACATGTATACTGGTGCGTGTATTCAGTCACTTGTTCATTTGGATTGCACGGTTGTTTTTGCAAGTGTCTGTTCTTTTTTTTTGGAAGGTTTCCATCACCAATCTGTATGTTCACATGATCTCACTGTCAGTGCCTTCTACCCTTACTGTGAATATGATATGTGCTTCCTTGTTCACACGACCCCCTGACCCCAAATTCTAACCTCACAGAGTGATCTACTGAAAGGAAATGTTTGCTTGCTAACATGTACCGGTAGGTGAAAGCTAGGGTGTACGTGCAATAGAATAGGAAATAAGTGCTTGTATTTGTACAGTATGTAGTCACTGACGTACTAATGCCCTAGATTGAGTTTTACCCAGTATGTTGTACTGTGTGATGTAGTTTCCATGATTTAATACTTCATTTTTTTTGAAATCTTTTTTTTTTTATAATGTAGTTAGTTTCAGTCATGACTGTAGAGGTTGCAGATGTCAAGTGACACCATTAAATTGAGACAAAAAGCAGTAACATAGTATGTGCAAACGCTTGAGTTCTTGACAGGATAGTGAAATTGTTGTTTGAGTTACATGTACATGTACAGTAGATATTTCTGTACCGCTTCCGTGTGACACTGTGTCTCTCAAAAAACATAATATGTGCGTATTTAAAAAAAAAATGTACATACAAGTGTAGGCCCAAAAATATTATCCTTACCACCTGGTGGATAGCTTCTCCCTGAAAGAAATTTTCTAAGAAAAGTAATCCCATGCCATAACACAAACACTTGAGACTCTGAAACCTCAGCATGGTTCCTCTACTAGAACATGATGGTAGGAATGTCAACAAACAGAACAACCCTTACCAGTAGATGTGTCACTTGACAAGGCCTTAATCACTCCGGCACAATGATAAATGGTGATTTAAGCCCCATTATCCACTGTCCCAGAGAACTAAGTTGGAATAATTTATTTTTACTGTTGCCAGTGAATATAATTTGTAAACAGTTTGTTGGATTAGCTGTGTTGATTTTTCTCTTTTAACAGGGCTTAATGGGTGTTTGGTTTAACCTGGCATGCTTTGAGATGTCACTTTTGAAGAGGCTGTATATTTTTTTTAATGGGAAGTAGAGAGAAATGGATGAGTGGGAAGTCTTACATAACTCTGTCATGCTTTACACGGTTTTATAGGAAAGAGTCCCATTTTGCGTACATAGGTGTACACGCATACGTTTTATGTTACATGTACATGTGCCGGTATATGTGTAATGTGCAACTTTCATTTTTGTATGTGAACATGTAGTTAAGGAGTTTTTTAGATTAACATGTGGGTTTTCCGTGTGGCCATTTTTAGCAAACTGAATCAAGTCATAATTGACAAAGAATTTTGTCATGTAGAATAAACCACTGGAAAGCATATTTCTCTCGTCCACTGCATGGCTCACGGGAATAAAATTTCTTGAATGCAATCAACCATGATTCCATGCGTGGTACACAATATATAGCCATGACTGTGATGTACATAACCGATGCTCTGCAAAACACCGGTACCCTTTTCAGCCCGAATGATTCAATAGTTTGGAACCCTGCACACACATCATGGGGGAGGAAACGGTTGGATCACAATGTGTTGTTGTTGTGGGCAATATATCCCTCAACGTTGGATACACATGTGTAAACCCAATCAACCTTGAACTATAAATTGACCAGGCAATTAAGTTTGTGGCTGTGTGCGTGGGGTGAGTTTAAATATTTTTGAAGAACCAAAAGTGATAACTGGCAGTGCGTGAATGGTGTTGACTTTCATAACGTTGGTTTGTTGTCATTTTGATGGGTGGGAGAATGAGTCACAGCAGAAAGGTTATAATACCGGTAGATATTTCATGATTTATCCCTGCGGAAACGTTGTGCTCTGTGCTCTATGCTGCTTGCCTACAACTCATGGTCTGTTATTTGGAACTCCACCCATCCCCCCCCCCCCTCTGAAAAAATTGTGATAACATAACATGTGCATGAAGCCTTCTAACAAACAGCTTTGTTTTCATCAGACCAACATTGAGAATTTATCACTTTGTACATTTACAATTAAATATGATAGCGCAACCTTAAATGTATTCCTTGTTGGTGGAGGCTTTGCCCTTTCAGGTATTTTCCCACCAGAATTCTAGTAATTCTTTGACAGGTTTCATGGCCTTAAAGGATCACAGTGCACTATCCCTTAAAACCTTGATCAGTTTATGAATATTGGGCTAAAGCTCTGCAGCTACATTGTATTCTCAATCACTAATCTCGACAATCATTAGATACTTTGCTCTGCAGAAATCCTAGCGTGGGAAAGAACTTCTGTATTATGATGCGTGCACTCGCTTTCTTTTTGTGCATACATTGTACATGTATGCCATTGGCAAAAGTACAGTTTGTACCAAATGATTTTTCTCTGTATTTAAGTTTTAGAAAAACTAAAAACTGTGAATTGGTTCTCCTGAGTAGATGTACGTGTACATGTACATGTACCGGTACATGTGAAAAGCTGTTTCCAGTTCCCGGATAGAATTCATAACCCAAGAGGAAGCTGAAAGTAGAGCTAGCCCCACAATTTTTGGGGGCTAGAATTGGGGGTATGTAGCTCTGGAGCTAGTTCCAGAGGCGGAGTTAAGTTATGTTAACTTCCAATGACAGCTATTTTGGGTGGAGCTACACTTTAGCTACCAGTAGCTTCAGAGCTACCTATATTCCAGAGATAGCCCTCCATCTGAACATAACCTACATGTACACATGTTCTTATGCAACGACACCATGCCACGGTTGACCTTGAACATTAAGCAACAGTCATGATTCATGTTTGAGATCTAGGTCCACAGTCCACACACCCAGTGTGTGAACAGAATAAGCTGTGCAATCAATCTTGTCATCTGGGACAGACTTCTGCTATGAAAAAAACCGAGAGTCAGACAGACTTGAGGAAAAGTCAGTTGGCATTTAGCAATGTAATGATACGCCTACACCTAACCCGCCAAGATCCTTGAACCACATCCACCAGACATGTTTGAGGATTTTGTGGGATTGAGGAAGGAACAGGATCATGTACATATATGTATGTGTGGAACTCAGCCAGAATTACTTTTAAACATTGCTTTATTTTTGTCTTAAAAGGTTTTTTTTGGGGGGCGTGGTTCACAAAGAATCCGTTGCATCCTACTTGGGGTGTATGGGATAGAATTTAAAATTGCATCTTATGAACCTGACCCAAGGACCCTGTGCTAATATTTCATCAGACATGCCAAATTAGTCTTGAGCATACAGCCTGCAGGACAGTCAAGTCACATGTCAGACTCATCAATGACCAATCGCTGTCTCTCGAGAATTGTCAACCCAAATATTCAAGTTATTCCAATGTATTTCTAATCCAGCCTGCCTCAACTACATCCACATGTGAGCTGTGTTTGGCGGATTCTTGACATGTTTATGACATGGCTGGAAAAGATTCTACTAATGCAGGAAATTACCATGGGTCATTTCTCTGCTAATAACTCTCACATGTAGACGCTACTGTAGCACTCCTCAGCATCATGCTCGCATCACGTCATTGTAATTTGATTTTTTTACCAAACATGAGAAATAGTATTTGACCTTTTTTTGGCAAATCTGTTGCCCTTACTGAAAAAGAAACGCCACTAGAAACACTCTAAAATTTACCTTCAGCGATAGAATTCCCAGGAAGATGACACAAGATGTCCTTCTCATCCAATATTGAGTTAGTTGACTTGTGGTGAATTCATGGAAAGGGTACAGTATTTACCATCATACCTCAATAATGCAATTACATGCATACCAACTTTCATACAATTCAAATCGTTTAGGCCTGGACCAAATGTCACTGATTGATCTGTCAACCATGTATCCTGTTCTTATGATTACCATGATGTGCAACACTTCACTGAGAGCACAAAAACAAAGTATTAAAGGAGATTATGAACATGGAACGGTATGCACACAAGCCAGAATTCCTTGCTACCCCATGAAATATGCTAGTTTTCTGCTACAGTTGGTGAAGATTTACAGTTGGTGAAGATTCCCATGATTAACAGCGCACTCCTTCAATATTCCTGTAGACACAAAGCGTCCTGATTTGAAGAGTAGTTTGGATGCCATTTGCTACAGTGATGTGAAAGAGTCCAGATCGGACCATGAATACTAACCCAGATGTTTACATGACAGTCGACCTGTTCTATAAACAGTTACCCTCCCCAGCAGTGATTGATGCCAATTATTTGTTGAAAAATTTGCTGTAGACGAACTGGCCCTTATGACCAATACACATGTGAAATACTTATCATGCATTTTTTTTTTTGAACATTTTAAAAAATATATTCAGAATAACCCAGCAAAAATACCAGTTGGTATCATATCAAGATTTTAAAGAGATCTATTCAGAATTGATTTTTTTTTATTGAGATCCTTTTGCATGAATCCATCTTTTCAAGGAAATTGTTAATAACATTCAGTCACAGCCAGTCTATCCTGCTCTATGTAGGCTGGGAGCTCTTAACTGTTAAATTAGTCTCTTGATTGATTTTGACTGAAAGGACAACTTTGCAGAAAATGCATGTCTGCATATGGGGTTGTCTTTGCAATTCATTTCAAGAACTCTGAATGTTAGGCATGAATTTTTCTAATTATAAAGAAACAATTTACTTCAATATTTTTATCACATTTGCTTACTTACAGACCACAACAAGAAACAGCACAAAAGAACTTGACAAAAAATCCTTTAAAAAAACCCTGTATTTTTCCTTCCCCTTTGCTTACACACCAAAAATGACAAGATGGAGTTGTAACCATGAACTTTTTCTAAAATCCAAAGTCTGATTGACTGTATTTGTTTATCCTCCATTGCTTACAGATCACAACAAGAAGCGACCTAAGATCACGGCTTTGGAGCCAATGGACACCATCTTTGTCAAGCATGTCAAACCAGAAGGTAGTGCAGAGAGTGCGGGGCTGTCTACTGGTGATCGCATCGTCTCGGTCAACGGGGAAAGCGTGACAGGAAAGACTTACTCACAGGTGGTTGGACTGATTCAGTCTAGGTAAGGCTGTCAGTTATGTGAGTCATGACGTGTGCTTTAAAGGGGCTAGGCAGGAGACTGGGAAAAGTTTCCTTTCAGAATTGTGCTTAGCACAGAAGTAATTTGCTTAGCAAAACAGGTCATGAGCCAGAATGAGAATAATGAAACTGACTGGTTCTCTACTTGATTTAACTTACCAAAAGAACTTGGAAAGCAATCTTTTCTTTGATTTTTACAATGTATGCTCTTTAGTGAATTGTTGATAGACTGGTGACAAGCAACCATATATGATTGTTTTTTTTAAAGTGGCCTAAGGTGAATTTTAGACATTGATAAAGCGTGCAATGAAGTTTAAAAATGTGCAACCACAAAAGTTTGGAAAGGGTGCTCAGCTGATTGACTGCTATATTAAAGGGATTATGAAGTCCTTTTTTAGGGGGTTGGGTAAACGATTGGGATTTATTTTGTTCATAAATTTCTATTCTACACTTCTCTCCCTTTTCAGTGATTCTTGCCTGAAACTTCTTGTTGTACCACGTGAGGAGGACATTCTTCAAGTAGCCTACCCAACCTCAGCCTACAAGACGGCAGATGGATTACCTATTTCCCAACCGGAACCAGACTCTCACCACTTTAGTGGCAGAAGTGGGATCAGTGATCCAACGTCTTCCAACCAGGCCCCATACCCATCTCCCATCCTGCCTGTGGATAAGACAGAAGAGGGCCATGACACGGTGATCTTGCGTCCAGAGCCAGATCTTCTTAGTCACCAGCCTCGACACAAATCAGAAATGGTTATGTCAGTTGGTTCCAAGCCCATCAAGACATCGACCCCAGTCTATGACAGTTGGACCTCTTCAAGAGACACTCTGGACTCCAACAACAGGAGTACACCAACAACAGGTGGCCACTTGGATTCAGGACGGACAGGATTTTCAGGACAAACAAAACAAGTAGTTGACTCAAGGTATGGCTATCACCATTCCAGACCAGCTAGTGGAATCTCTGTAGCTTCCAGTACCTCCTCTGCAGACAGCAGTGTATCGGGACAAAAAACAGGGCGGACTTTCAAGATAACAAGTATTTTTGGACAACACAGTCGGGCCCAGAGTCAAAGGGTTGAGACTCAGAGAGTTGAGAGTATTGCGCGCAGAGGGACAGGGGGGAATGAGTTGCCACCAAGACCAAGTGGCAAATTTGCGAGAAGCAACATAGACAACACCACTGCAATCTCTCATCATATTTTACATCAAAAGGCAGCATCTCTTGATCAAGGGCCAGTGGTGAGGTTAAGGACTGGGACCGGACCCAACGATTACATAACCCTCACGGGACAAAGAAGAGGGGATCATAATAGTAATAAACCTGTGCCCAGACAGAGCAATAGCATGGACAATTTGGCTTATGCTTCAGAGCATCATGATGTGAGAAGCAGTAACGGGGGGCAGGTGTCATCATCATATGACAATCTACACCTGTCAGGTGCAAATGGCACTGAATGGGAAGTGAGGTCCGGTGACCAAGTGATGGGCAATCCAAAGCTTGGGAGTGACAGCCAGGTAAACAGACAGGACACTGTCACCAGACGCTTCTACAAGACCAAGCAAACAGAAACATCAAGCACATCCTCAACAACCAGTGACCTCAACGCAAGGAATATCGTTGAGGTACAAGGCTACAAAGAGGTTGCAACAGACCCTCACATGAGGGACCTCTTTATGAGACAAGCAAGGCATCAGCGTAATCGGAGAGGTTATGAGAAGAAGGAATCTGCCCTCTCAGGATCTAAATCAGCAGATAGCATCCGATACATTGATGGGAGGCCGATGCGAAGCAACACTGTGTCCTCAGCTGACACTCGACCTCCCATCTCTCCAACGGATAGAAGATACTCACAGTTTCCAGACAAAAACATTCATGCTGGTTACCCATTAGATCAACCAGCCAGACAGGCTGAGACACGGGAGTTGTACATCTCAGAACCTGTGCAACGCTTTGCTAGCAGCCAGGAGCAACTTGTCCAAGACAACAATGGTTATCCTGGCAGGCAGATATCATCATCAGATGAGGTAAAATATAGGACACCCTCGTCTATAAACACAGTGAAAATAATTGATTTGGACGGTACTGTTAAAACAACGAATGTATCTGAGGGAACTGAGGACAATGCCTCACCAATAAACAGTGATATGAATACAGAAGAGGAGCCACTCTCTCCTACCAGGGTCCAGGACAGGATTAGTTACTGGCACAAGAAATCGATACAGGGTTCCTCTACAGATACAGTGGATGGTATGTCCTGGAGGAGAGGGAAGAATAATCCCCACAACAACCCAGATCCTCCACCTCCTAACCTTGCCTCCTCTAGGTACCGGACCACGGCTCATGTACCCCTTCCAGGCGGGGGACGGGAAAAGCCTCCAGTCCCCAAGCGTGATAGTAGCCGAGGGAGGGTACGCGAGCGTAACATGGAGAGGGAACGTCAACATGAGCGCAAGATGTACGAGCGTCATCGAAGTAAGAGCTATGATCGCTCCAGCCAACGCTCAGCAACTTGGTTCCGGTCAGCACGTCGGCAGACAACAGATGATATGTCCGTGGATAGCTTGACCAGTGATGGAGCTGTCTCATTGGCTAGTAGTAGGAAGGAATCTACGGCCAGTAGTATAAGTGATGGATGCAGTGTGGATGATGATTACCCACCAGGTCAGTTCATGATTGGTTTCACTCGCATTCTTCTAGATGTATCTACATGTAGCTATGTTTGCGTATGTGGTATGTGTGTCAGATGTGCCAGCTTGAAAGTAAACAGTGAATGTTTGCTGTTAAGCTGTAATTTAGGGGCTGATGTAACACCAGTAAGCATTTAAATTGGTGGTGTTTGTTGTCTTTTTTCGTTGTTCTTGGACTACGTTTGCACTGGACTTTTAATCAAAATAGATTCAATTTAAAGTTTTTTAACTGAAAATGTTGCACTGATGAAAATGTGTGGAACTACACATTGACTGACAGGATAGCATTTCATGATTCGACAATAGTGAAAGTACATTGTAAAACATAAATAGATTTTGTTCCCTCAAGATTTGTTATAATTAAAATGTGGGAATAATCCATTCGCTGCATTTCTGATGGAAAATCAACTGTGTTGAAATTCATAGACTTGTGATTGACGTTTGCATGCACATAATGTGTGTATATGTACATGTACAGTGTTATCGTTGGTGATTCGTCGTCCCCGAGCGTGCTCAGAAGCTGGTTACCGTGGTAATCGTAAAGGAATGTATGCACCACCACTTGACAATATTCCATATACCAGTAGGCGGCACCAATCCATTGATGAAGGTTTGAATCGCGACATTTTCAATATCAACGCCAAAAAAGGCGTTCAATTTAATCTAGTGCAAGTTAACCATAATTTGCCATTAAATTATATTCCTTTTGCTGATTAATTATTTTGATTCAACTTATTAATTTTGCAGTTCATTCTTTTATAACAAAATAAATGTACAGTATATTACCACAGAGCTACAGCTCTATGATATTACATTGTAGCAAAATGATTCGTGGAATTGCAAGTTAACCAACCCTTTTTGTTGTTATAATGCTCTGACATTCATTTGAAGTACAGTGTAACTGCATTTTTTTCAGTGGGGATTGGTTAATTTTCCAAAAACCCAGGGTTTTGTTGTTAGAACTACATGTACCGGTACATGTACAGGGTACCATTACGTGTACACTGAAACTTAACCCTAACCCCAACGGGTTTTCTTTAGGCACCCTGCCAAATGCAACAAAATGCAACTTGGCTGATATAAGAACCATGTTAAATGCAACAACATGCAACTTGGCTGATATAAGGACCATGCCAAATGCAACAAAATGCAACTTGGCTGATATACAGTAAGAACCATGCCAAATGCAACAAATTGCAAAGTTCAGTGCATTCTGTTGTATTGCCTTGGAAGTTGGACCTACCGTTATGGGCAGTTACCCTGCTGGGAGCATGGGGACATGAGTTGACTGCTAAATGCCACAGTATGCAACAATGTGTTGCTTTCTGTTGTTAAGATACCGGTAGTACTGGGTTAGTGTTATTGGATTGGATGTTGGAAAGAACAGCTCAGACACTGTTAGTCTACCCATACGTGGGGGGCTGAAGTTTGGAGGAAAATAGGAAACAGAAATTGCAAGGGAATTAGGAGTTAATGACAGCCATGATACCAGGAAATACTTTTCTTTTTATAATCTGCATATTATACATCATGATGGAAATTTAAATACCTTTATTGAAAAGATGCCACAGCAGATTACTTGTACTGGTACCAGTACCAGTACATTTTTTTCCGGCACATAATAACTTGTGCCAATATGCTTAGCCCCCGGTATGTGCTTAATATCTGACACGTGTGTTTGTTTGTACCGGTATTTTATGCGTGTGTTTTGTTGTGTATTAAACATGTTGTGATTAGTTTCCACGCAAACTAAAATAACGGTCACACCAACAGGCATTTCAAGCATTTCATACATTCTTTATTTCCTTTATATACATAAGATTAAGCTTTTAATTTCTTAACATTACATTTTAAATACCAGTACAAATCACCCCGCTCATGATGTTTGCCAAGTGTACTTCAGGAAAATAAGTTCAATTTATCAGGCCTTATTGAAATTGATATTGTCGTTGTTTTTAGTAATTGTCTTTAATTGGAATGTCTGGTGCAACATTTCACTAACCTTAACCATGGCTGGTAATGAATCCTGAATTAATTAGCTTTCTCACAATGAATATAATTCATGTAACTTCAGTTACTTTCTTGACTTTTTCTTTACCATCATTACATTTGTTATTTTTATTATCATTATCCTCATCATTGTTGTCATCATCATCATGTCACCATGTACCGGTAACCATTTTTATTGTCATTGTCTTTATCTAATAGTCATAATCAGTATTATCATTAATGTTGTCTTCTTCATCATCATATTTGTGATATTTTTATCCTCTTTATTTTTGTTGTCTGACTTCATCATCACTGTCAACATCGACATCCTCATCAACCATGAGCAAGTTCAGTCAAGGGCCATTGGTTAACTAATACATGTATTATTGAATTATCTTGTGCTAGCACAGTAGAGTACCGAAGTGAATACATCACGCGCACAAAATTTGTGTAAAAGACATTATAGCATGTGATTCAAGCCGTGAACCAACATGCGCGCGTATTCCATTTGTTTGTACTACACTTCTGGTTCTAAATGATGTCACACTTTGGTACTCTAAAAGTTTGATGAATTCCGAGTACACTTCAGTCAGATGTCATCATGGAACCTCATGGGCTTGGGTCTGTGCTGTACATGACTAATACAACCATCCTGAACTGAAGTTGTCTTGATGGATGTTTGTCAAGCTGTGATCAACTAGGATCTTGACCAAACTTGCTCATTATCACCATGATCATACTTAAGATGTTCATATCAAGTCAAATATTTTTATTCCACAACAATTGTCTTTGTCCCTGCATAGGTACCAGGCAGCGCCTTGTAAGGAGGACATCTTACTTACGTGCTACCTTGAGTGATGACGATGAAGAAGGAACTAAAGATGCATCATCGGTAGCCGATACCACGAGCATATCATCTATGTCTGCTCATGGAGGCGAGGGCAGTAGTCCGGTTGTATTGTAAGTAGTTGATACCATCACAACCTCAAAGTGCCACCATTTGTAAGAATAGTCAAACACTGAGGAATCAAAGGTTAAGACACATTACAGGCCATAAACAAGAATCAGGCTGATAAACCTTTTTTTTTTTTTAACAGACGAAGGAATGCCACACCAAGACGCAACCCTAGCATCAACAAACTAAAGCATATGTTTGGGGAGGGAACACCAATCATTACAGAGGCCATGCACAAGCCATCAGCAGGTAGCAGCAATCAAGGAACAGGTGCACAGGGTGGTGAGGATCCTGAGATTACTAAGGAGGGGCCAGCTAATATCAAGGTGGAACAGAAAGAGTGGAAGGTATGGAGACATAGAATGGGAGTTTGTGACATTGTAGAATGGTTCTGTTGTAGGGTTGTGCATTTGGAACGGTTACTATCATCAACAATGGGGCACCCGGCCGAGTACCTGAATGCTGATGTTAAAAACTGTTTCCAGAATATGTGATCAGGTACCCGTAACCAACTTCGGTTACATTGGGTTTCTTTGAGGGGTACTCGAGTACCCATGTTTTTTTGTCAATTGGGTACCCGTAATTCGTAAATTAAGAATCCACACTTGCGAGTGTATTTTTCGACTTAAACCATTGCGTCAAATGAAGTATTGGCATTAACAGTGAGTGGAGATGAAAAGACTTGGGAAAAATGTTGCAACCTGACGCCACTTCCGCGATTGTGTACAAAGTCTATGGAGAGTCAAGAGAAGAAAAAAACCAATTGGAAATATTTCTCAGTCCCAGATTCATGTCTTATCATCATTTTTGCAATGAATGACCTTCATTGAGATGATATATGAAGAAAAAAGTGGTGTCGGGTTGCAACATTTTTCCCGGCTTCTTCCGTCGACATATGGATAGTTCAGACGATGATTTCTTTCTGACTCGAAGTAGGTTTTGCAGTGACGGCTGAGAATCTGACAGTAAAGATGCATTGGTAATTTCGGAAGGAAAAGTTTCACGCATACGGTCCTGTTAATGCTCATGGAGAACAATTGTCTGACATGTTCAAAGTGTGGATTCGTAATTCCGAATCCACACTTTACTAAAGATTCTTCGTTCCATATCCACACTTGGTGACCAGCGTAACAGATTCGTAGTTCCGAATCCACACTTTTAACAATAGTGTGACATCATAGCAATGGTTTAAATGTACAGAACAAATGATGTAGTGCCGAAATAAACCATTGCTATCTAAACATGCATAAATTCCTTGTGTACACATATAATGGAAACTGGTTCTTACATCGTTTGTAAATGTTCGTCTGATCCCATGCTTGTTGCTTTGACAGCGTGCCAGTGATCGTTCCTGGAAGCCAGTCTGGATGTTGCTCAAGACTAAGACTATGTATCTCTTGAAGGAGAGACGGGATACCAGCGCTGGTCCCTCCACCTCCTCAGATGATCACCCAATCAGCATCAAAGCCTCCATGGTGGACATTGCCTATGACTACACTAAGAAGAAGAATGTATTCCGCTTGAGCACCAGTACAGGGTCTGAGTACCTGATACAGGTAAGGTCCAGGTTTTTTTACTGACTCTGTACATCTGTGGATGGAGCAATGTAGCCTGGCTGTGAAGGCATGGGAAGGGCAGTTATCTGTTATAGTTCCACATTCCCTGTTTATTAATTTGCAACAGATAGGCAAGGTTAATCATTGTGACTATAATGGTGCTTTTTTTTCATATATTTTCATATTTTTTTCACAGGTTAGCGACACCAAAACAATGCTTGCATGGATCACAGCCATCCAAGCCAACCTGACGCCTGGTGGCGATGTAAGTATGCAATTACGGTATAACCAAGATTGACGGCAGAAAAAATCCTGTTACCAGTGTTTCATTCATAGGTGTTTATTATGGTCACGTTTAAAGAGGGTGGTCATTTACTGCATATTTCTAATGGAGGTGTTGCGTTTTCTTCTGGCAAAACCTCATTTTAAATCACCAAATTGTAACCCTTGCTTCGCAGGACATCGTGAGTGCCGACATCATCATGCGCAAGACACAGCATCATGATTCTGGCTCAGGCAGCCAGTCGACTTCCAAGAACGTCCTGTCTCCACCCAACAGCCGTAAGAAAGGCAGTCGCAGCCCCTCACCAGCCCTGCAGCCACCTCAGCCAGCTAAGAAGCAATCTACGGGCCTGGCAGGAAAGATGAAACATAAGATGAAGAAGAAAGGGGGCGGGGCTAGTGCCACGGTGTGGGGGCAGCCAACAGCAGAGGAGTTGAAGAGTTTGACTTTTGGCGTGCTACTTGAGAAATGTACACCGTCAGATACTAACGAGGTACTACACCTTAGCTCCATTCTTGTGGTGAAAACAGTCAAAGTCTAATGTCTGTTTATTACTTTATTTCAAAACTGCATCCTTTAATGGGAACAATTCAAATACTGATGTAAGTTAAGGCCAAGTTGGCACAACTTTCTGTCGTGTAACCAATCTTATGCGTGTTTTTTCTCATGAGAACTATGGCACCCCATTTTGTGTGCATTCAATTATGCAGTTTAAACTTTTTTGTTTTCCAAGTATTCTATTCATTGTAATATGTTTACATCTTTGCTCCCCTCCTCCAATTCCCACAGTTTGTTCCTATGTTTCTTGACATCTGCTGTAACATCATTGAGGACCTTGGTCTGGACACCGTTGGTATCTACAGGGTACCAGGCAACACGGCTGGTGTGTCCTACCTACAGGAAGACCTGAAGGCTGGGCCTGAGGAAGCCAACTTTGGAGACAGTGTCAGTGTCTTGTACTCCTCTGTTTTTTTTGTTTTTTTGTTTTTTTTTCTTTAAAAGATTTATAACATCGATGAAGGGCAAAACCCTTGCATTGAAATTAACTCATTAGAACATGTACTACATTGGATATCATTGTATTATTCCCTGATGGACCCAAAAAATCATGAAGTGCTCAGGCAGTTTGGAGTGATACAGGGAGGGCCATTTGGGGCAGTACAGTGAGTAACAGGCAGGGCTATTTGGGGCAGTACAGTGAGTAACAGGCAGGGCCATTTGGGGCAGTACAGGGAGTAACAGGCGAGGGTGGTTTGGGGCAGTACAGGGAGTAACAGGCGAGGGTGGTTTGGGGCAGTACAGGGAGTAACAGGCAGGGCCATTTGGGGCAGTACAGTGAGTAACAGGCAGGGCCATCTGGAGCAGTACAGGGAGTAACAGGCAGGGCCATTTGGGGCAGTACAGGGAGTAACAGGCAGGGCCATCTGGAGCAGTACAGGGAGTAACAGGCAGGGCCATTTGGGGCAGTACAGGGAGTAACAGGCGAGGGTGGTTTGGGGCAGTACAGGGAGTAACAGGCAGGTCTGTTTGGGGCAGTACAGGGAGTAAAAGGCGAGGCGGTTTTGGGCAGTACAGGAATTTATGGGTTATAATCAAATTATTTATTTGTTTTCACAGCGATGGCATGATGTCAACGTGGTTAGCAGTCTTCTTAAGATGTTCTGCCGCAAGCTACCTAATCCCTTGGTTCCCAGGGATCAGTACAAGGACTTTATTGCAGCCAATCGTAGCAAGGATCCAGCTGAGAGGATGTGGGCCTTAAGACGTCAGATCCATAACCTACCAGACCATCACTATGAGACATTCAAATGCCTGGCCAGTCATCTACGTCTGGTGTCTCAGAACTCAGATATCAACAAAATGGAGGTGACTTAATTTTGTTTAAAGAATTTGTCACACATTTCCATTGCATTAGGGGGGGGGGTTCAATGTGAAATTGAAGGGAGAATTGATAAATCATCCAATCATTAATCATTGCATCACACAATTGGAATAAATATATCACCCGGAAAAATCTCACCATATCATTTATTGCTGACTGCTTGAAGGAGTAATTATCAAGAATCAAGTTTGTCTGTCGATACGTCATCTGTCAGTGAGTCCAGAACAAAGAATGGTTCTACAGTTTTTATCAATCCCTTTTTTTACTTCTGAGATTGGAACAGTGTTCCTTTTTTTTTCACCGTGCATTCTTTCATCACTTTCTAAATTGTCTCTCTTATTAACCTTTATCTGAAAGGTTCGTAATCTGGCCATCGTCTTTGGGCCGACTCTAATCCGTTCAGGCGACAACAGCATGGTAACCATGGTGACAGACATGTCGGATCAGTGCTGTATCATTGAGAGTATCATCCAGCATTGTGAATGGTTCTTTAGTGATGATGTGGAGAGCCAGCAAGCTGTACCCAGTGATGCAATCCCCGAGGCTGAGTTGATGTCATCAGATGCTAGCGAGCTGCTCTCCAAGGCACGCAAAGATGATCAGTCTGGTCAGTAAAATCAAGTTTACTTGTTCGTCAAATTCACAATGTTTATTTATCTTCAAAATATAACTATAGAAGAAAGACTGGGATTACCTTTAAAATATGCATTAAAACTTAGCGAGCTATAAAACTTGCAATACACTGAATCATATACATTTGATGAAGCACAGAACATTTTATTTTAGCAAAAACAGGTTTACTAGACCAAATATGATATCGCATTTAACTGGTTGTTGGATGGTTTTTGTTCAGCATGCTAAGCCATATTCAGCATGCTAAGCCATATTCAGCATGCTCAGCAGTTTTATTCAATTAGCCTCTGCTCCCATCCAATGTTGTTTCACTTCAGTGAAATACACTAGCTGTTACACTGAAAGGATTAAATTGTCATTGGAGGTTACATTTGTTCATTAATTTTGTTCTTGCACACAGGTGAGTCGGGAAGCGATTCGTCCAAAGGCAAAGACATCAACGCCATGGAACTCATGTCATCAGTCATCTCAGCTGCAAACCGCAAACTCAAGGGTCGTTCTGCCAAGAAATCCCTGCCCAGTCCTGAAGAGAGTGATGGGACGGAGTATGGATTCCCTAGCAAGGGTGCAGAGACCGAAGTCAAAGTACGCGCCATTAGGAACCAGACTACAGACAAGGCAGGAGATGATGAGGAACTGTCGAACCTTGGGGGAGCCCAACAGCGGAGTGCAGTGAAGGTGACGTTGAGGAGAGACTCGCAGAGCTCCGTGGAGACCAACCTGGAAACCGGGACAAACGTGTATGATTCAGAGAGACTTGCCAACGCACCAACGTATGCGGCTGCACGCCAGCAGCTTCATCCACCCAGAGGATTCTATAATCAGTTTGGTTCCCGTGGACGATCACTGTCTGGATCTTCGGACACCAGCAACAAGGCATCCACATCAGTCCAAGGAGCTGTTGCAAGACCTCTTAAGCCTCAAGGAGGTGGTAGGAAGGCAGTCCTGACATCAGATAGAGACTGGAAATCAGAATTTGCTAGGGAAAGGGAACGGATTGAGAGAGAACATCAGAAAGCTGTCCGTGACTATGAGAAGGAGGAGGCTACCAATGTAGAAGAGTTATACCGCCCAAGGGATTATCTGCGTGAGATATCGGCTGTGTCCAACAAAATCGCTGACTTTACATCACAAGGACATCGAGAGGACAAACCAGGCAGTAGTGATAGGCGGCCAGGTCGATCTGTTGACACAGACTCTATGATGTCAGGTTTTTCTACGGCATCTTCTAATAACAACAATACGCTGCATACTGCACGATCAGACCCGGTGTTCAACACCAGACTGGAGATCAGGGAGTCTGCATCAGAGAGTGAGAGTGATTTTGTTCAGGCTATGAAGGCCACGTTTGATGAACGCTTGCAGCAGGTGGTGCATCAAGAAAGTGAAGATGATAGATTATCAGAAAAAAGTGCTGCGTCCTCAAAAACTGCATACAATGATCGGCGACCAAAAGATGGGGTGTATGTAGCGACGCCGTACCAAAGGCCTGAAGACAAAGACGCTTATCGAGTCCGGACTGGTAGTGGAACATACATGAGAAATCTGAAACAAATACCCAACAGAACACCAACAGGGGGCGCTTCAAGCAGCGCTCAGCCTGTCTCCTTAACGTCGCGTTTCAACGAACTGTCCATCGCACCTCAGAATGAGGAGCCAGTGAAACAATCCTTCTCTACCCCCACCTCAACAACATCTTCACCAACCCGAGGGGTTAGGACACCTCGTAAGACAAGTCGCTTTGAGGTAACACTTACTCTTGAGAAGAAAGGTCGTACACCGAGCGAGAACGTGCCAGCAAATAGGACCCCATCGTCAGAACCTCCCCCAGCAGTAAAGACTAATTCAGCACAGGAGTCAACGCCCAAGAGGAAGACCAGTGTAGGTAAACAGCGCCCTCATGCAGCAGCAGCAAAAGACACTATGTCAATCAAAGAACAGCATCGTGAGAACCGACGGAGAAGGCATACAGTAGGTGGTGGCAGGGATGCACCAGAATACAGGAAAATTATGGAGTATAATCTGAACAAGGCGAACGAGCCACCTCGCAAAATTAGTGCATTTGACAGACTCAAACCCTTCGGAAAACCTTCCAAGGATTCCCAACCACAGAATATGAAATCTTGGATGGACAGTGAGCGTGTCCGGACAAACAGTAGCCCTAATCTTCTTGCCTCGGTCGCCATGTCTGCATCTTCGTCAAATGCCCCTCTGGCCAAACCAAAAAGCTCAACAAATTTAGATGGTGCAAAGTTGAGCCTTCCCACCCGAAAAGATGGCCATCCTCAGAAATTCAGCTACGTCTAAAAAAAAAAAGCAAACACACTGTTGAGACTTTTCACTTCCGTGCACAGTGTGGGTAAAAATGTTGATTGTAAAACCTTTGTTTTGTTTGGTGCACATGTATTTCTTAACAATGCTTTCTTATCGTTTCTTCAGAATCATTGTTGTTCCCAGTTACAGCTTTGTGTTTTTGTGTATCATCTTTGTAGATAATGGCATGCAGGAATGCAAACACATGATATCAATTCTGTTACGAAAAATGGTTTGAGGAGCATGTAAATAGTCAAAAAGAAATTTATACTCGTAAACCAAGTAATATTGGAAAGTATTTTATCTGTAACATAAATACAAGTAGGAGCATGTACAGTGTGTATATAGACATTAAGTGTATTTTGCTTTAGCACACACAAAACATTGAGAGATGTGTTACACTATTCAGATTATTACGATTTTTGACTAGCATACTATGACCCATGAGGGCACAATTTATGCAATTATGCTGTTAACAATTTGGTATTGAAAGCTTAGCCAAAGTAGCTGTTGATCATTATTGGTGGTCTTGTATTGCATGAATGCAAGTGAGGCAGTGAACAAATGGACATTCTCTGCATGTTTTTTTAAAAAATTATTTGTAGAGCACATGTTTGAGGTATAATTTTCTACTACATTTGCATTTAGGTCCAGTATGTGATGGCATAAACCAGTTTTAACAAAGTGAATGATAAGTTTTATCTATGTGTTCATGTGTACATGTACTGGTGCATGTAATATTCCCCCAGTATACTACGTCACCTTGACATACAAAGTTTCATGAAATAATAACCTTGACACGTTTAAATTAAAACAATTTGTATAACATGATGTGTATGTCTGCCTATCGCCCATCACCAACCTACATGGCATTTGTTTTATCAAGGAACCCTCCTGCATCCTCTCAAGAACTGTGCAGTATTCAAACCTCTTTTTTATAGCTCCATGGTAAAAGCAGTATTTGTTCATGGGATATTAAGCTCCATTAGATAATCTTTATCCAGAAGTATTCCCTGTCAACTCCAAATTATCTTGTTCACTCTACCAATGCTATTACAAACATGTGAATAATTAGATTTGTCAAGTGGACCAAAATGGAAATGCTTGGGCTGAATAAACCAAGTCAGACTCATATTTAAAATAAAACACCTCAAGACCTAGCAGGACAAGTGATGTATATGTGGTGCAAACATTAGTGTAACCTTGGATGAAGCTTTTTTAACCCCAAAACTCGAAAAAATAATTCATTTTTTCCATTTACCCATTTGAGAACGTAGACTGCAGAAAATGGCAGCTGGTTTTGCACTTTTCTTTATTGTTCGTCTAAGGCCAACCATTGAAGAAAAGATCAAATATTCTTATCATTTTGTAAACAACTGAGTGGCTGTCGAGCAGCCAATAAGTGCTTTCGGTTTCGACTTCAAATGGAACAAACTGAAACATGGAAAACTTTAAAACTCCAAAAGCTTTAGACGAACAATGCTGTTATCTTTTCAGTAATACCAATAATGATACATGAAGTTTGCTGCAGTCAGTAATTTGAATATATTCAGAGACTTCACCAGGTAATTATGAAGAAATATAAAACCAAAAGAAAATCATGTATTTGTTGAAAGTGGTGCAGAATCTGAAATAAGATAATCATGCTAAGAAGGAATCGGTTTTGTTTTGTTATTTTACACCTTGTAAATTCATACATTGTATTTTAATTGAACAACAGTTATCATATTTAATGCAATGAAAGATGGTATTAAGATTTGCTATGAAATTAACGCATTGATCATAAAAGCAGCACACACAAGTAGCAATTTCAAGTTTTCCCATTGTAATATTTCGATTCGTAAAGTGATGCAACATTGATGTAAACATGTTTTTATTTCTTTTTTATTTGTTTTTTATTTGTTTTAAATTTGTTTTAATAAATTATCTTAGAAACTTAGTTTTATGTCTCCTTCAGAACAAAACAAAAACAAAAAGAACTATAAATTTAGGGGACAAACAGAAGTGGTGAGATTCTCGTTCTTAAACGTGAGTGTATAGAGAACTGTGCTGTCAAATTGCTTTGAAGTTTAATATATATGGATTTGTATGAGAAAAAACCCAATATAGTTGAATAAACCAATACAGGAACAAAGTTTTTATGTTTTGTTTACCATGAGAAATTAACAGTGTCATACTCATTTTCATTTAGTATCCATGACAAAAACTGTATGTTAATTAGCAGGTTGAACCCCCCCCCATTAACCCCATCACCCCTCCCCAATTCTCAATACAATATAAAATAATATTTCAATTCAATTATTTTATTTCACCACAATTAAAAAAATACTTTAAAACCGAAATGCATTTTTCCAATGTGCACAAAAACAGTGAAAAGAATATTTAAAACAAGAATTTACATTAGACATAAATATAGGTCAAAAATATATAGAAATATAAAACACAAATAAGCTTTTTATTTTGGAATAAAAGATAAATTTAAAAACAAAAAGGTATTGGATCTATCATAAAGCTTCTCATTGTATAAAATTACAAGCAGCTTTCCGATATACATGTATTAATTAAATTATTTTAAAAGTATTAATCTGATAATATCAACATGCAAACGGTATTTATCTGATAAGACATGTATTTTACTTGTAGATGAATTTAAAAAAAAAGTGAAACGGTTTGTGTGAGTGGGGAGTGCACAACATCTTCCTGTGCGGAGGAATGGAGAGGATAAATTTGGTCCTGAGTTATATATAGTCTGTACACTTTACATGAGAACGTTTTTAAAAATATATTTCTAATTTTACTACGAGAGAATGCTCCGTGTTCAGACCACTCCAAAATGTGCTGAGCACGTACAGAGCTGGGAGACGTACAGAGGAGACAAAACGAACCACTAACTGTCTTTTTTTGGGGGGGGGGGGTGCCGTTGCTCCCCAAACCCCCCAAATCGGCTGGCCCGCCGCGCGTTCCTTCCTCCATGGTCTGATCGACACATGGTCTGAGCAGTCTGACATTCGTTTCGCAACTTTCCCATATCGCCCTCTCGTGGTACAAACGGCGGCTTAAATTTCGCTGGTCTACACAGCTTGTCTTCGTATACTTTATTCACATCATACTGGATACCAGTTGCGCGATCATACAGTACGCATATTACACGTATTATGAGTTGAGGAGTTTGGACTTCGCAAATATTTCACTTTTTGTTCAGGTATTTCAACAGACAGACATGCCTTGACATGTTAACGGATCGCACTGTGGACTGACATACATGTGGCAAGCAGTGGGCTTGGGAACAGCTAACGGTGAGTTAATTTCCATTTCCCCCCAATTCAGTTCCAGATCCAGCGGCAGCGTCCCTACAGACGACTCAACTGAAGGGAAACCATAGTGCAAGCTTCGTACAGGGAGGGGCGTGGCGGCGGCGCGCGGCCGGCCGGGCGAAGCCTGCGTTGTCAAGATCTGGATCTGAATCATTTACTGCAAGCATGCTGCAAGCAATGGGATGTATAGGTTGCAGGTTAAGGTTAGGGTTGGATGATCATGGACTGATGGGCAATCGTGTACTTAACACCATAATTGTGGCCAATTTACTGAACTACATCCGTAAATAATTAATTTTAAATAAAGCCTTAAAGGCCACACAAAAAATACTAACACTAGTAACACTAAATCTAAAGTAACACTCACAGTAACATTTCACAGTGAGACCATGGAGACTGAAACACTTCATGCAGAGTTGATTTTAATGTTAATCATTAATAATAATATTAAATTCAGAATTTGCCGCATTTGTCAGTTGTCTAACTTTGGCTTAATTTCCAGCTGAATGTGGATGTTTCTTGGCATCAGTTTGTGTGTAACTCGATTGCAACCGTGTTCCAGCTGAACGATACCCTCGCGCAAATCCTTCCTGTATAGAGCGCCCTCATGCGTGTACCGTCGACCAGCTAGCCGTACGATGTATGCACGATATACGTACCGGTACGTGCATCATACGGCTAGCTGGCCGACGGTACACGCATGAGGGCAACTATGTACAGGAAGGATTTGCGCGAGGGCTTTGGAACATGGTTGCAATCGAGTTACAAACAGCCTGATCCCAAGAAACATCCACATTCAGCTGGAAATTATGCTAAAGCTGGACAACTGACAAATGCGGCAAATTCTGAATTTGTTATTAAGAGGGTGAGTGTGTTATGAAAGCATAAATCAACTATGCACGCATTCTGAAAATGTGAAAAAAAAATTGTAATAGTTTCTGCCGGTGTTAGTAAATTTGACAGTGTGGCCTTTATTTACGGAGCTCCGAGGTAGTCCAGTAAATTGGCCACTTTTATGGGGCTGTTGTGTACTGTAGTTTTATAGGACTCCCCTGGTATGTTTTACAAGTTCCATTCATATATCAAAACCCTGTTTAAATAACCATTACGTTAGAATTTGCTATCAACTTAAAGACTTTCAGTTGAAAAATAAAGAAGTCTTTAGGCCAAGTGAAAAAAATAAACCAGTTTCTTTTCAAAGCCCCCTCCATTTTCCCCCTCTCCTATTTTTTTTTTTTTTTTAATTTATACATTTGCAACATACTTTGCAAAGTCAATGTACAATTATAGGCCTATTGTCTGTTTATTTGTTTCCAAAACATTATAAGAAAATTTGAATTTCCTCTTTTTTTGTGACTTCCCAGTTGCATGCCTGTTTAAGCATACGGGTAGCCTTACTCAAGTACATGTACATTCCAGAGCAAAGTTTATACAAAAATTAGCCAAATTTTCTACGAAATTACATGTACATTGTAATTTGTGTGCGTTACTTGTATACATGTATACATTGTAAGTTCTGCTTCTCAACCAAAACAAGTCATGAAACATGTATGTAACTTAGTATTAAGCTAATTCCCTTGCCTATCCCCTTTTCCTACCAGAATAACCTACACGTGCACAAAGCATATCCTCCCCCAATCCTCCCCATTAAAATACACAAGTGCACTTTCTGCTGTTTGCAGAGGAGGAAAAACCCTTAGAATTTCACTGTGGCATGAAATTGCTTTCAGCATGTGGATGGAATAACCCAGAAAAAGAAACCGGTACTCTGAATGAAAAATGCCTGCTTACAGTACAACAAGGTCTGAAAGGAGGGGTTGCTGGACTGTAGGGACTTTGACAGTGCTCTGTACACACTCACGTGTTGTGGTTGAAGTGTGTTGTAATGCTTTATGCAGGCAACTTCCTCTTCTTTTGTCAGAGAGGTACTTGTTAAATTATGGGAACTAACATTTTAGTGCATGCTCATTTGGCTAGTTTGTGGTTTGAAGTGCTTTCAAAATGCACACAGTATTATCAGAACTGTACTGCATTCTGGCTAATGTATACACAAGAGTACATGTGATGTACTGGTACATGCAGTACACTTTTTGTACATGTATGTAGTTTGTTCTTCACTAATGAGATTGAGTACATGTACATTAACCTCAACTTTGACAGTTTACTTAAATTTGTAAAATTGTCACATCTTTCCAACATGTACGTTGTAAAATTTGTAATCCTGTTTTGTGATAGTGGGTCAATGTCTATGAAGCTGATGCATGTGAATTAATGTGGCAGTAGCAGTTGCTAGCTTTTACATATGGTTCATACATGTACATGTACATGTACACAACAAACATCACAAATTCAAAGAAATCTCACAATACTAACACGTTGCAAGCCTGTAGGGCAAATATGCCACTTGTAATGGCTTTCACATTTACCCCTATTTGTTGAGGCAAGTTCCTACATTGTACAGTATGTATGTACATGTAGACTGATTGACTGAAACCTTTCCTCATTCTTTGTCGCCTCTCTGCAGATTAGGGTTTAAGGTGCCAGCGAAACCAGTCTGTCATTCCAGAGCACTTGATCACGATGATGCAGCTCGGAAGTGATCTTATGCACAGACATGCTTTTTGAGCCACTTTGTTGAGAGTACTGTAGGCCTACAACAGGGAGATCACTGGATTGATTTGCTCAGCCAAAAAAGTGAGTCTTTGTACTGGGTAAGTTATATTTCCGAATTGTTTTCTTTTTGAAAACACAGCAAAAAAGCGATTTCTAGTGACAGAAGATCACTTTAATCAATCAAAGTTTGATACATGCTTAAATGTTCGCTTATTTATAACTTCAAACAATGTAAAAAATTGTTTTGGATAAATGTTTCAGGAGGGACCTAAAAGGATTGCTTCAATCTGAAATGAATTAAAAACAAATAGTTTTAACCTCTGGCTCCCTTGTTTTTCGATAACCTAATTTATGCAGTTTTGAAGTTTGTTTTATAAGTGCAATTCAGACGCAGCTTGTTGGTCATCATAAATTCACGTTGACTTCAAAAGCATGCTCTCTCTCTAGTGCTTGACATGTTTTTTTTATGGTCCTTCAATTTGCAGTCATGCAATAAATGCAGGAAGTGCATGAGATGCATTTAAAACACTTGGGGTGTTTATTTTTAAAATAAATTTTTTTTTTGGGGGGGTGGCTCTAAAAACAGCCATGACAGCATTCAATGCCTTACCCAATCATGCCTGATGGTTAGGGTTAGGGGGAAGTACATGTAGTGGTACTCAAGATGTCTGAAGAGCCTCAAGCTTTGTGGATAGTCAAATGTACACAGACTCCAGTCCCTGTAGGGAAAAGTTTCAAATTACAACGCTGTTTGCGTTTAATGAACATTACATAAAATGAGATTGTAATAATACATACCGGTACATGATGTACTTTTTAATTTCATATTGGTGTGTTTGTAGAACTTTATTTGGCATACTGGAAATTTGTGTTACATGTGGGTTTTGGGGGGTTTACATTGTACATTATAGGCCTAAATGTAATTTGGCGAATATGAGGGCATGTACATGTACATGTAAAGTGGAAAATAAAAATAACTCTAACCCTACAGGTGGATTAGGAGGATTTTAGAGGGTTGGGGCTACGGTAAATGGCAAAAAGTGTCCGTTGATTTTGGAGGATGCATTGTGTGGAGGTTGTAGGCTGTGCCCAGCATTGTTTATGTTCAGCTCTGCATAATTGAGCCCCCCATTATGCTCAATATCATCCGCACTGCTTCTGAATCTGAATGTCATTGGCACTGCCTCAACCCATAGGCCTAACAGTGATCTTTAGAGGATTTTGCAGGATTGAGGATAGTTCCTAGCCAAAAGGGCCTAGGGGTTTTGGGTTAATAACGATAGTGTAGTGTGATACAATAAAATGTTGATTGTCATTGCAATTATAATTTCACAAAACTTGTTCACTGCCACCTCATGATAGACCATAGATAGACCTACAGGGCTTTTTCCTGGGGGGGGGGGGTGTATATGGCTTTGCAGATTACACTAGACCATGGAGCAATGACTAGACATACATGTACATGTACTGTGGCCAGACGATGGTGGTAGACGATGGTGGTAGACGATGATGATTATTTCCTGGAATTGTGTCATTGATGCAATGGGTATTGCAGATTGTCTAAGGAAGATTGATCTGATGTGCTTTGTGGTTGCACAACGCAGGAATGTATTTGGCTCTGAAAATAAAAGTGGACAACGTTAGGGAAAGAAGGCACATTAAATGTTAATTCATGTGCTGTACACAATATACTACATGCATGGATTAACTTCAATCGTTTGACATGTACGACAACCCGTACATTAAAACATGTAATTTGTCTCCATATAAGAAAGAATATGAATTTGTCCTTAATGACAGGACTGCATAAATGTCTCACATCCTTCAGCATTTCCTTCAAAGCAAAACATACCCGTTTCAACAACCCAAATGAGCACTGAGGGATCATGATATCAGTTTATGTGCGTACATTTACTCCTCATGCTTGCTTTCTTTTCTCATGCAGACTTGCAGTGTACCCACTTCAGTTTGCCCCCTGCCTTCTGTCAACAACCCCGATTTCCTGTGGCCACAACAGCTCAGCTCAAGAAAACACACTGATCCCGGGATCCAAGTAGGTCACAGATTCTCTGGAAAGCACTGAATTTTTCACATCAGTTCTTGGAAGGATAAAGAGATTTCTCTACGAGGGAGGTAAACAACCGGATGTTGTTTGTAATTTCAGTTTGGAATCTGTGGTTTTATTCACCAAGCATTATCCTACGTCTACACGAGGGAGTTACAGTGGATGGACTGTGGAAATGAAATGATTCCCAAGCAATAGATCAGCTTGATGCTCATGCGTAAGTCTCATTTCCGCATCTGGTAAATTTTTGATGCACTTCAAGAAAAATTTGGAACACACTGGCAGTGATGAATTAATTTATCAATTAAATTTCAGTGCGCATCACCTGGATAAAACTTCAATTATTTTTCTGGACATGAAATGTCAATAGCTACTTAAGTGGGTAGTGGAAGATTAGTAATTCATGACAGAACTCAGTTTCAAATCCTTTGTTTGCTGCTTTTGGTGACAGAACTTGAATATTAAACAAATACCTCTGCTTTAAATCAGAACAGTGTATGGCTCCACCTTCATTGAGACTATTTAAAGGTCACCCATGAACACTATTTCCACCGGCTGTAGCCTTCAATAAAAACGACAGGCGTTCCATCAAAACGTCTTATCTCTTGTCAGCAAAGAGACATTGATTTATGCCTAAAGGAACTAGCAATGAACAAACCAGATCTGATCTGGAAATGCAGTTGAGCACTTCAATTCATCATCTGAGGAGACTGTGAGATTGGTAAAAAATAACAAATCTTAAGTCCCTGTTCAAAAGAAATTGACTACCTTGAACTTGTACCTGTAGTAATCGCGTGAGGACTTGCCAAACAACTTTGAAGACAGAAAATGTCCAACGCTTTGCAAGATATGTCTCGGGACAATCTGACGACATACAAGTTGGTGGTTGTCGGGGATGGAGGTGTCGGGAAAAGTGCCATCACAATACAGTTCTTCCAGAAGATGTTTGTTGCCGACTACGACCCGACTATCGAAGATTCGTATATTCAGCACACAGAGATTGATGGAGAATGGTGCATCCTAGATGGTAAGCATACAGTCTCCCTTCTGATTTTTTAATACATGTAGCTCTAACAGTCCTGAATCGTCTACTTTTAATATGATTTTGCATACCCCCTAGGGAGTTAGGGTTAATTAATTCTACATGTAACTACCTGGGAACTTGATTGGGAACCTATCTGAATCCTTTACGAAACCCACCAATATGCAGGAACACAAATGTGTGTCCTCTGAAATGCTGATTTGGAAGTGTGTTCCTCATTTTCCTGGTTTTGAGACTGCCTGAGCTACATGTACATTTTGTACATTGTACATTTCGTAATGAACTGTAGGCTTTGATTCCTAATTTTGTAAAGGTACATACATGTAGGTACCACTGGTTTTACTGCATGGTTTGGTTTTTGTGGATTACCTAGCCAAAAAAACACCATGGATTTGGGGTTAAGGCTCACGAATGGATGTGAGCTCTGTACAATACTTTTCAAATGTTTTTGATGTGCAAATCTGTTGTCTCCATTTGCTCATTCATGTAACTAAAGTACATGTAAGCAAGGTAAAGGTCGGTGTCTTCACAAAGTGTGCACCTTGCTTTTAAGCAGAGAATGCACATTGTATACATGTACCGGTACAGTACCGGTATGTACATGTAAATACTGTACATATGTATGGACAATTATTGAGGTTGTCTCATTTTGCATTACAAAGTTCCTCAGCAAATTCCAGTGAGGTTTTAATTGATACAAGAAAAGTCTGATTTTACTGACTTTTCTAATTTAAATTTTGTATGAGTGCTGGTTGAAGGTGTGCTGTATGTCAAGGCTGCATTTTTGTCTATTGGGCAATTCCGAGGTAACGGAAGGACGTTTTCACTCATTAAACAAAATTTCAAACGTGTGTGTCACAGACACTGTTCATAGTTACAGCAAACAAATGTCACAATTGTATTGCTATAATGCTACTTTCATTTTCCACACTTTTGGGGGGCATGAATGCCTCCCGTTTATGAATTATGAATATTAATGAGGTCGGTAACGGAAGGACGGTAAAACGGACAAGGGTTTTCCAACTTACTCGCGTTTTGCGTAAACTCTGTGAATTTTATGGGGCAATTATATTTAAAAGGTAGGAAATGGAATCCCTGAAGCTTTATCTATACTGTACCGCCTTTCATTTGACTTAAAGTGTTTCAGTAATATAATTACAACGTTTTAAGCAGATTATAATTTGGTAACGGAAGGACGGTAACGGAAGGACAAAAGGTTTACTCAATTATAGCATGAACAAAATGTGAATTTACACTAATTATACAAGTGAAACAAATTGCTGAAATGTGTAACTGAATGTGAAATCAACAATATGCAGACCTGGCATAAATAGTTATACCCAAGAAACTATTGAGATAAAGATAGAAGCCTGCTAATTAATAACAAAAGAAAAACGAAAACAACCCCAAACACATAATTCACGAACACAAGACAACTACAGAAATGGACTTCAAACCCATCACCTCAATCCTTAAAAGTTTAAATACACAGTATTTGAGCACTTGAGTATATTGGTTACATGTTCACCAACAACTTTTAATAATACCGGTAGGTTCAGTGGTTTACCTAAAGGGTGGGGGGGGGGGGGCGGCGACCAGCCTACATGTACATTTAAGGTAAAAACATCTACCGGTAGAACTGATGGCTTCAGTTAAGTGTTGCTTTTAATTAAACTCTAAAATCAATGTTTGAAATCAAATTACAATGATTTAGAGTAGTAACAATTAATTTATAAACATCCAAACTGAAATTGTTAACTTGGGCATAATTTGTCAAAGATTACACCTCACATGTCTTACACATGTAAATTGAATGAAAGTGCCCCAAAGTACCGGTACTTTCTGCCATCTCATTTTTGACTTAATTTGCTTCCGGAATGGCTTCACAGAATTTGTATCTTTCTCTATTGTCCATGAATGCTGATGGCAGCAACTTTATGATTTGATTTTCTGCAACAACTCCATACATGTACAAGTACTGGTACATCGGCATATATGTACATGTACATTGTACATGTTGTATATGCCTGTGCCATCCTTTGTAATAAACACCTTGCCCTGCTTATCCCGCTTTTGTGAAGGTGGGTCACATGAATGTCCTTTCAATGCTGATTATACATGCATGTATTTGCAGTGATTTTCATTTTTCAAACATGAGCGCAAATGTCGTAACATTTGATAAAAATACGATTTGTCCTTCCGTTACTGTCCTTCCGTTACCAATTTGGTAACGGAAGGACGTGATTTAATTAATTGTAATTAAAAAACGAGAAGTACAGCAGTGTCAGTTATAATGTAATATTGAAGGCCTACCTAAACTTGCTTTGCACAATAACTTTCAATGCATTCATACTGCAAGTTTTAAAAATAAATTAAAAATATGTATTTTTTCGGTAACGGAAGGACATTTTTGAAGGCTGAAATATTAGAAGTCACTGAAGCGAAACAAATTACGCAAAATGTTAAAAACAAGTTTTAGTCGGTTTTTCAAGACCAATACTTTCTCATGACAGAAACTGATGGCATTAGTACATATTTTTGTGTGTGTACTGGTAGAATACTTTCATATCACTATTAATCACATTTTTAGGATTAAAACAGGATTATGACATAATCCTATTTTTTGGTACTGAATTGTATAAAAAATAAAATTCCGACTTCAAATCTTGAAAATATAGACTTTTAGCTTTCATTTGATGCCAAATTTGTTTAAGTCACATGTATTTGAATTTTTTGGTGTCATGTCCACTTTGGTGTGGAATTGCCCTATTGATTACTTTTTGAATCTAAAATAAAGCTTTGGAAATTGGTTCAAATAACCAAGAATAAGATTTTCAAAAGACCCACAATCTCAGGAATGCAAACCCCCCATTATTTTTTCATTCTGACAAACTTTGTACCGGATTTAACAATAGGGTTGTCTGCCTGGTGAGGCTGTTGCCCTGACAAGGAAGTACAATATGGGCATTGTGCTTCAGTCATGTGACCTCCTGACACTTGGTATTCACTCACTTCCCAAGTGGAATTGTACAGAAAATCAAACCTGCTAAACCGTTCAGTGGCAGAAGTTCAGTACCAAAAACAAAATAAACAATTGAAAATTCACAGTCTAGTATACCGGTACTTTGTCTATTTACAAACAAAATGTACAGTTAAAATACTTGCTCATGATTTTGATGATAGTCTTTTTTTCAATTACGGTATCTCTTGGTTTTTAACTTTTTAGTATTTTTCTTTTGTGTGACTTCCACTTGTTTTGCCACTAAATTTTCAACTTGTGAGGTGTGAGAAACTCAAAATTTCAAGATTTCAATTGGGTGACAGATCATTACATGTCTAATGAATTGCAGAACTTTACAAATTGTTCAACTCATTTCCCTCCAAGCTAAAAACTTGGATTAATTTCCTTCATCGGTAGAAAATATGATCCACCCAAAAAAAAAGGAAGAAAAAAAAAAGAAGTTGGTTGTAAGCCCCTTTCCTGATCAGGTCAGATTTCCGGTTGGAAAGCAATCTTCCTGGAGGAGTGGAGGGATTAAGTTTCCATCACGTGCATGATGTTTGTCAACTACATGTACATGTACATGTACTGTAGTACACAGGGACCTATGTCATTCAGAAACGAATGTACATGCATCTATAGATACACGTGTAACAAATGTAAGGTACAGTACAGTTTGCTACATGTTTCATGTAATTTTTGTGATTGATGAACCTTACTGTAAGGAATGATTTACATAACAAAAATGATTCAGTTGAGATTAATGACTTAAAAAAAAAATTATACAAACATATGTACCGGTACCATACACTGTACCACTTAATATATCTTGATTTAAAAAAACTGGAAACTTGTGCCTTATGTATGTACATACATGTACCAGTACAGTATTTGTTGACTGAATAGAGCATACAGTTTGCCTTGGATGACTTGTGACCCTTAGGATTAAAATTAAAAAATGCCAAATGTTTCAATACTTTGATTATGATAAAAGTTCACGCATATTCATCCAAAGAAAAAAGCCCTAAGGAAATAAATATTTTATTGTTGATAAAAACCAAGCCAGAAATTCACTTAGTCAGCAGCACATAGTATTGGTACAGTACATGTAACTCTAGTAATTTGGGGGCTAAAAAGATTGTACATGTAAAGTATACCCGGTATGCATGTCTATTGTTAGAAAACCTTTTGAATATTGCTTTGTGCTGAACAAACCTGGTATGAACAAAATAAAATTCCAGACATGTCTCAGTCAGTCATGTGGAGTCGTTGGAATTCTATACAGCTTCTGTCAGCTAGAACTTACACAGTCAAATTTTGTAATGGCCTTGAAATAATTGAAATTCATACTAGGCAAGCTCTATGTATTTCTATTTGTAAACATTTACTTTCCCTTTTGTTGGGTGTGTTTTGGTTATCATTCACAAAGGTTTTTCTTTTTAGTTACAGAAAAATGTACAATTTTTTTCAGATAAAAAAAATATAATCTAATTGACCCTACTGAAAAAGAATTTGTTGAAGTGAACCCCAGTTTTGTACCCATCACTTCAATATATGTATTTCAAGGTATTGAAGTATTTTGTTCCTAATCTACCGGTATGATAAAAAAAAATTAGAACAGAAACCTTAATTCCATTCAATTTGTGATACAACTAAACACACTCCTCTATTTCAATTTACAACCTATTTTACATGTACACACATACCTAATACATGTACATGTATGCACATGTACATGTAGTAACCCTCATGAAATACACATGTACCTGAATTGAATTTGAACCGGCTGTCTCTCTCTCTCTCTCTCTCTCTGATGGTACTCAAGATGATTGATTTTTCCCTCTCCTCATTGTGTGCAAAAGAAAAGGAAATTCAATCTCATCCTTGAACCATTCATCAGGAAATGGAAATGACATTTCATCTCACCCCCCCCCCCCCCCCCCCCCTCGTGCCATCAACCTTTGAGATGGTGTTAATGAACCCGAGGTGAAATCTCCATTCAGTTTATGCACAAAGTTTGGGCATTGGAGACTCTAAAGCCTTTTTGCTTGCAACCCATACACATGTTTAATGTACATACATGTATGTACACGTACATGTACATGTACATGTACACCCATGTACATGTACGGTACATGTACATGTATATCATGTAGCCCCAGATGGCCTTCTAAGGGCACCCACTATTCTGTTTTGTGTGACCTTGCCAGATCAATATCTGCCCATAATAGATGTTACCATTCATGACATCAATACTCATGACCCCGCTGTTATCATCTGGAGAGTAATCGATTATCACCTTGCCCTCTTCTTTCTCTTGCAGTGGTCAACTTTGGCTAACTCTGGTTACCTTTACTTGTGCATAGATCAGTGTGATGAAGTTTATAACATTTCATGTGTAAAACCATTTACATGTACTTAACTTTGTAAGTACTGTATGTGCACCTGTATTAATTAATGAATCTTAACAGATATTAAATCAAAAGAGTGTGGAGAAAACTTCAAAGCTGTTATCAAGCACAATGTATGTATGCATGCAGAGAGTGAAATTATACCAGTAATTAGTATGGAGCCACGAAAACTGCTGTGACTAAAGTTAGAAGAACTGTCAAATGAGTTTTTAGCTGTCACAATCCAATTACGATTACCGGTACCCGGTACATGTAACTTGATTGCAAGGGTAACCGTTTTGGTTCCTGAAGACAATTTATCAGACAATGTCTCATGTTCGACTAAAATTTACACTCTACATGTATATGTGTGCACACAGATTTTTGGTATGATTTTTTTTTAAATTATACTTGCACTTACACGTATACAGTACACTGTAAACATAAAACAGAATATTCCCACTTCCTAGAATTATTATTACATTGTGGTTTATGACCCCACCAGTGCCCACAGGTGTTGCTAATAGCCTTATTAACCCATGGCTGCTCTATATAGCTGGGGGCATTATCATAACATGGGGTCCTTATTATTTGTGAGGATGTGGGGGAAAATCATTGGGCCATGAAACTTCCGGTGCCTTGTGGAAGGTCACTCAACAGTGTGATTCTGTGGGACCAGAGAGAAGGAAACCAGCCAATTTGTATGCTGGGCTGCAGTGACCACAATTCAATTATTGAATGAAATGCTGGCAAATTAATTTTGTAATTGGAGTAGTTCATGCCCGACAATAGGTTGTGCACTGACAATGTACATGTATAGTACATGTACGGGATTTTTTTTGCTGAATAGTTCTGTTTTGTGGGTGATGATATTCAAATGTGATAATTTGTACAGTTTTTACACATGTTGGCTAGTGGAAATTGATGCTAAATGTATTAAATACGGTAGCTTCCAAAATTGGCCAGAACCAACACTGTCCAAACATCAATGCCACAGCTACACAATTCAGTTAATGCTTTATTGACCAGATATTAAAAAAAGGGGAAAAGGACGGGGGGGGGGGGGGGGGGGGGGGGGGGGATCCTCCAGCTTTCAACGCCATTCCTACCATGTAATGTATGCTGAGTCTTCTGTTATTCCTGTTCCTGAAAATCATTTTGAGACGGTGAACTTTCCCTCTCGAAATGTCAGAAAATGTCATCTGTTAAGAAAGTGTTTTGAAGTTTTGTACATTTATTTTAAAGCTTCGTTGTAACTTGTTGTTTTTTACATGTAGTACTGGATACTGCTGGACAAGAGGAGTTTAGCGCCATGAGGGAGCAATACATGAGGAAAGGAGACGGTTTCTTGATTGTCTACTCAGTCATTGATAAAGCCAGCTTTGAGAATACCAAGTCTTTCTACACGCAGATACTCCGAGTTAAAGACAGGTATGTAGGGCGTGGACTCTTAATAGTACAGTTACTGGAGATGTGCTGTGCATCATAAAGCCTTTTCACACTGGACAAAATGTCGGGGGGGGGGGGGGGGGGGGCAGGGGGATGTCCCCTGGGCGACTCAGGGTGAAAATAAGCCATGTTTCACACTTGAAGTTCTCACCAGGACTCAACGTGCATTGTACATTCAAGGATTTAATGAGGCACGTTTTGTTGCAATTTTGATGTTTTTTTTTTTTTAAATATATATGAATTTGGCAATTAAGAGCTCAACATTTTTTATATGAGTGTTGCCTTAAGGGTTAAAAAACTGAAGTGAGAAACGGTCGTGCACATCCCTGGGGCAAGATACATGTAAACACGGTTTGCGCAAAACGAGTCTGAAAAGGTGCGGGGTTGAACTCGAGGGTGAAAAATCAAAAGTTGCTCCGGGATGTGCCCGGGGTGAGTCTGCCGCGGGGTTGGGTGTTGTAGTTTGAAAAGTCCTCTCTGACATGAAAGCAACTAAAGTCATCAGTCACTGCACATACTGAAATCCCAAACCGGCCTGTTTGTTACATACATGTACATGTACTCCTAGTACCACCCAAACCACCCAAGCAGTCTCTGGCTTCATGGATTCATCAGAGAATAATACACCTGACATGTTTCAACTGTGATGCACTCATGTACATGTAAACAAACTACCCTTTCAACCTCCCAAGTTTTCATATTTTGTGAGTTTGAATTCAATTCAGAGAGAGACAGTTACACGTACATGTGTGTACACTACCCATGTACATGTATGCATGCCAATACGTAGTGCTCCAGAAACACAACTTGCACCTGAAAATACTGACTGCATTTGTCTAAATCCTTTTCATGTAGAAAAATCACGATTGGCTTAATCAGGGCCGCAGGTCAAACTGTCAATTACCCAGCAAAATGTCACATTGATAATACATCCCTACACAGAGCTCAGTCAAAGAAAGGTCATGTGTTTCATGTCCAGAATGGTGAACTGGGAGATTTCTGCAGGAACAGTTAAGAGGATTCTGTCATGCCTGGAGCCAGGATGGGACTTGTTTTTCTTTTCTGGCCCCTTTTTATCAAGACCACTTTACCTTTGACAAATACATGTGTGCCAATATTAAGAAACACTTGATTGCTGGATGGTTGGTTAGTTGACATTCATGAGTTTTAAAGGTTCAGCAAACTTGTACTTGTACAGTAGGTACCTACGTTTTACATACAGGATTACCCCCCCCCCCCCCAATGCAATCCTGAAACATTTCCGTTTTCAAAAACATGATCTGTGAATTTTTATGTGTTGGATATCAGAATTGGCATTTTCTCGGCAAACCAATGTGCTATTTTCATGATTTTTTCAGTATTTGAATGAAAAAGCTCTCAGCTTTGAGTAAGTTGGCTTTGAGCTGATATCCAAAACATAACAATTCACAGATCATGTTTTTGAAAAAAGGCAAATGTTTCAGGGTTGCGTTTTTGTGGGGTCACCCTGTATAGTGAATATAACATTTGACTTACATGTAGCTAATTGACACAAAAAAATCACATCTTGTTTGAAATGGACCTACATGTAAACCCCAACAGAGTATACTGTGTACTGATGACACCATTCATGCAAAGGCAAGCTACCTGTTATTTCAGACACATTTTACTGTATTGCAATTGTTAATCAACATTTGCTATTTTATTTTCTTCACTTTTATCTGCAGAGATGCCTATCCCATGATTCTCGTTGCCAACAAAGTGGACCTTGTTCACCAACGGAAAGTGTCGGAAGAGGATGGCAAGGCATTAGCAGCAGAGCTTGGGGTGAGGTCAAAGGTCATGATGTATCTTAATTATTGTTGCGAGCCAGTCAGTGTTGAACCATGACAAGTTTATTACTTTACTGAAATGTATGTGTACGTGTACATATGCGGTTTGAGATACTTGTTTCTGGTTATATGGGTCAGGATCCTGAAGGTTTTGATGAGGAGGTATGCTGACCAAATGCAAGAAGTTGCCCAGTGCTTTTCTAACTACCGATATTTGTACATTTGTTCAAATGTCCTTGTCAGCTGTGTCCAACTAGTCATATTCGTGCTCATTGAAATTACTCATTAAACACAGGTTTTTGGTGTTTACGCTTACAATGCTAATGATGAGGGATTACCTTTTTAATTTTCATTGTAATTTTTTCCCTTGCAGAAAACGTCCTACATAGAGACAAGTGCCAAGGACCCGCCGCAGAACATTGACAGGGCTTTTCATGAGGTGGTTAGAGTCATCAGGTAAGGTGAAATTATTTAACCCTCCTGCCATGCCTGCTGTCTGAACAGTCACAAAACAGTCAAAAGAGCAATCCTCTTCCCCTGCAATGCCTTTTACACAGGCTTGTCACCAACAGTCAGATCATTTTTTGGAACAAGCACTTTGACTAGTCAAATTCAGTCAAAAGCAAGTTCAGACAAAAGCAGGCAAGTGGTAGGCACAGCCTGCTTATCAGTCACGTACAGTCAAAGCATATCTGTATCAAGCTACATAAACAGCCACAGCCAGTCGATCCTGCTTCATGTTAGCTGGGAGCTCTTAACTGCTACAAACCAGTCACTTGACTGATTTTGACTGAAAGGACCACTTTGCAGCGAATGTATGTTTGAATAGGAGGGTAAATGGACAGATCACTTCAAGGTTGGCACAAGAAGACTTGTGTGCTCCTGGGAACCTCTTCTTTTCCACGATTACCTCCAAGAAATCCCTGATGATATTCTTGTCTATTTTCTTACCTGCAGGAGGCAACCAGTGGATCGAGCCGCTAAACGTCGTAGCAGGAGAAGCAAGCGTAGCACCAAGCAACAGAAGTGTGCCATCTTGTGATTGCATGTTGATAAGTAGTCATAGGAGTGCATAGAGTAGTCTTGGATTACTGCAGGTCCCATACTAGACCGATCCTTTAGACTCTACCCACTCTGCACATGGGCAAAAACACATGCACCGCTCCAATGCATGTCAGACATTTGTGCAGGGATGTTGGACATGAATCTGTGATTGGTCATAACATCAGTGGGCAGGGCTTAATGGATGGGTCTGTTGACTTATTCTGTGAGTATGGGTACAGACATTTCTTGAGCACGAGTACAAGTTTAACTTGGTTTCCATATTGACGTTAAGCTTATGCAGACTGTACAGACTGCGCAGGAACCATCGGCAAAGTTGAACCAGGTTCAACTTTGCCGATCCTCTGCGAAATAGTTTGGGTCTGTCTGGGTTGTCGTGACATTTCCGGTTGAAATGTTTCCATATGTCTGCGTTGCAGTTTGGGGTTTTGTTTGCTTTGCTCTCTGCGCTTCTTACGTCGATATGGAAACTAGGCTTTAGTCACAAGTCATCCACTCTCAGGTCATGTGACAAAGGCATTCCATGTACTTTGTTATTGTTCATACAGGTGACCTGACCCGTGAATTGACTTGTTCTGGACTTGACCTTCCCTCTCGTTGTTTTAGTCCTTGGCTTGATGATGACTACAGACATGTCGCTTCGAGTGCATTCATGTCAGCCATTAATTATACTTAACGGTTGGGCCTGGCCCTAAACATACACGTCTGATTTTTATTCACTTTAAATTGAAGAACTAATTCTTCAGACGCAGGTTGTCTTTGTGTGTGATTATGTTGCCTAGGAAACGGGGTCCATGATGCTGGGGGAGGGGCTCCACCTCCCTGCCACAAAGGACCTAGAATCATACCTATGTGAATTGCACATGGAACAACACGGAGATAGCATGTAGATTATTATTAGGGATGTCTTGTTCGTTCCACTTTGATCTTACAACTCATTTGCAGTGCTATGGAGCCAACGTGTGTGTATTGTCGCATCGATATAGATTGTGTTCTTATCCAACTCTGCAATGCAACCACTCTTGTTAAATTAACATTGTTTATTATTTGTAGGGATTCACACTTACCAGTGCAACGTATTAAAAACTCTCAAAGTAAGTTTTGTGCAGTTGCAGTATGATTTGGAAATTCAACAAGCTGCCCATTTAAAAAGCTGGAAGAAAGTGTGCCATCTACATGTAGCTGTTGTGATTTTAATAATGTGTGATGCCTGCTCTGAAGAATTTTTAACATTCAAATTTTTTATACCTGCAATTGACTCCCCTGGTGGGAGATATTTTGTGACTTTTTGAAATTGCTTCAACTGTCAAAAATTGATAATGACTGTGAATATTTAGTGATGGTACATTGTGGGTGTACATGTAATGTGTAGAAAAGAACTAGTGTTTAACTTGTTGAAACTTGTCCATGGAATATCCAGTAATGTAAGTTGTGAACTCAAATTTCAATGCACAAAGTGAACATGTTAAATTTTGTTCCTCAAATGGCACTTTAGGATTCCTGAAAGGCAGAATTGAAGATTTCCCCCTCGCCTTAAACATATTAAACACATCACAAGCATGTACACTATTATATGTGTACTGGGGTAATTTGTATAAAATTTGTAACTCTTCTGAAATTTTACTCTGTTATTTCTTATCAATTTGTTGTAGTATCCATCTCTTCACTTGCCTTCCAAATAATTTGGCCGTCTTGAGCATTAATTCAATCTGTAAGTATAGCAATTGATGTAAATTAAATAATTGTATTCGCATCACATTTGTTTCTTTGAGATGGTGCTTTGCATTGAACCATTTTTATAAAATGCAAATTTTTTTATGTAGCCTCAAGACGTCTGACAACATTGCCAATTCTATTTTTAATTGTGTAATTGTGGCAACATTTGCGGTAACAATGCCAGTGGTGTTTTGACTGGTCTGAAAGAAACCTAGCCAGTGTCCCATATTAAATGGGTAGTTTACATCTGAACGAATGGAGCCCATTCATATCAAATTGTGCAGTAATCATAATGAACTATTTCTTGTGTAAAAATTAATTTATTTTTTACGTAAACATATTGGTACAGTTTTGTAATATATTTCATTTGGTAACTCTAAATGGTGAACATGTAGGTACATATTGGTATCGTTGGTACATGTTATCTGCATGTATTTTAGTAATCAAAGAAAACGTTTATTTCCAGTAACTGTTTCTTGAATTGAAAATTCAGGAATAGTGAAAAACCTGCTCTTATTTTGGATTTATTTACCAGAGAGGCTTCTCAGACTTGCGGCATTGTGCTTTTTCACGTGTTTCTGTGTAAAGCCAACAGTTTCATTTTGCAAATAGGTTCATTATATATCATTTACCATCTACATGTACATGTATACTGGAAACAACTCTACAAATCCTGAAATTCAGAGCAAGTTTTTCACTCGGTGGTCTACTGGAGGATTGAATATGATAAAGCTGAATGGTCCTTGCAGATTGTCAATGTTGCCAGTTTTAGAACGTGGTCCTCTGAGAAATAGCATGTACCGGTACATGTACAAACCTACATGTACATGTATATTGTGTACATTTTTCATGGTTTTGGAATGAAACCTCTGGAACAAAAACTGAGCGATGGGGAGGCAAACAACCTACATGTATGCAGCACTGGATCTCAGAGCTTACAGTAACCATTCTGCAGGTGCCAGGGCTTTATCATGTTTGTCATGTTTGTCAGGGAACGGCTGTATTAGGGGCGTAAATCCAAATCCGTTCTTCGACCAAGACTGCTTGTGGATTATAGTCGACTCTCGTTGATACAAAGTCAGCTGGACCCATGAACCAACATGCCCACGTACTCCATTCGTTTGCACAACTCTTTCTGGTTCTAAATGACATCACACTTCGATACTCTATAACTGGAATTTGTATTAACAGTGTTTATATCAACAAGAGTTGACTGTTTGCCCTGTTGCTTGGTGTATATCTACAGGCATGTTGTGTCGAGAAGTGTCAGCTATCCTTCAAAAAGAGTATAGAACGCCAAAGTTCAAATGCTGAATAAATGAACCTTCAGCAAAACTAAACTAAGGAGATCCATATCGTTTCGGTTTGCAGTAACACCATGTGGTAATAACTACTGCTTAGAAGATTTTTAGTTCTGAAAAGAACTTGTCCTGCTTATTATCAAATTTCGCTAAGTACATAAGAACAGTCCTAAAAGAACTTATCTTTTAGAACTAAAAGCAGGACGTTTGCCAAGTAGCTTTTGTTCTGATAAGAACAGTCCTGCTTTAAGTTCTAAAAGACAAGTTCTTTTAGAACTGTCATGTACTTACAATCTTTAAAGCAGTAGTTATTACCACGTGGTGTTACTGCAAACCGAAACGATACCGATACTCCATCATGCAAAGCCTCGTATCTTATAGGAGATCCAGTCACAAGCTGTCAAATGGTATAGTTTGGCTGTTTAAGGCGTTGTGGATTCTGTGCTTAGTAAACTGCCTTTAGTTGCTCATTGACATAAAAACGACATGATACATTGCTTTGAAATGTAATTAATACAAATCGCAATTTCTATTTATGTGTGTTAGATTTGTACATCTACATGTATACTGTATTCTGCTCACATTTGAAATAAATGATAACAACTTTTTAATTCCAAATATCTGAGATATATTTGTGCTCATCAAGTTTTACCCCTTTGCATGCTATTTTTGTGACATTTCGGATATTAACATCTTTGCCCAATTTGTATTGCAAGTAAATTCTAGGATATCTTACAAAATTTATATTTTGTCCAATTTTTAACCAAAAAAGCAAGGTTAACCCCTTGCAATTTAATTTTTAGGACATTTTAGAAAATTGATATTTTGTCCCATTTTTAACCAAAAAAGCAAGGCTAACCTTTTGCCGATTAATTTTTAGGACATTTTTGAAAAGTTATATTTTGTCCCAGTTTTAACCAAAAAAGCGAGGCTAACCCCTTACCGATTAATTTTTTGGACATTTTAGACAATTGATATTTTGTCCCATTTTTAACCAAAAAAGCAAGGCTAACCCCTTGCAATTTAATTTTTTGGACATTTTAGATAAAATGATATTTCGTCCCATTTTTAACCAAAAAAGCAAGGCTAACCCCTTGCAATTTAATTTTAAGGACATTTTTGAAAAAATCTATTTTGTCCATTTTTTAACCGAAAAAGCAAGGCTAACCCCTTGCAATTTAATTTTTAGGACATTTTTGAAAAGTTATATTTTGTCCCATTTTTAACCAAAAAAGCAAGGCTAACCCCTTGCCGATTAATTTTTAGGACATTTTTGAAAAGTTATATTTTGTCCCATTTTTAACCAAAAAAGCAAGGCTAACCCCTTACCGATTGATTTTTAGGACATTTTAGAAAATTGATATTTTGTCCCATTTTTAACCAAAAAAGCAAGGCTAACCCCTTGCAATTTAATTTTTAGGACATCTTTGAAAAGTTATATTTTGTCCCAGTTTTAACCAAAAAAGCAAGGCTAACCCCTTGCAATTTAATTTTAAGGACATTTTTGAAAAGTTCTATTTTGTCCATTTTTTAACCAAAAAAGCAAGGCTAACCCCTTGCAATTTAATTTTTAGGACATTTTTGAAAAGTTATATTTTGTCCCATTTTTAACCAAAAAAGCAAGGCTAACCCCTTGCAATTTAATTTTTAGGACATTTTAGAAAATTGATATTTTGTCCCATTTTTAACCAAAAAAGCAAGGCTAACCCCTTGCCGATTAATTTTTAGGACATTTTTGAAAGTTATATTTTGTCCCAGTTATAACCAAAAAAGCAAGGCTAACCCCTTGCCGATTAATTTTTAGGACAATTTTGAAAATTGATATTTTGTCCCATTTTTAACCAAAAAAGCAAGGCTAACCCCTTGCAATTTAATTTTTAGGACAATTTAGAAAATTGATATTTTGTCCCATTTTTAACCAAAAAAGCAAGGCTAACCCCTTGCAATTTAATTTTTAGGACATTTAAGATAAAATGATATTTTGTCCAATTTTCAACCAAAAAAGCAAGGTTAACCCCTTGCAATTTAATTTTTAGGACATTTTTGAGAAGTTCTATTTTGTCCCATTTTTAACCAAAAAAGCAATGCTAACCCCTTGCAATTTAATTTTTAGGACATTTTTGAAAGTTATATTTTGTCCCAGTTTTAACCAAAAAAGCAAGGCTAACCCCTTGCCGATTAATTTTTAGGACAATTTAGAAAATTGATATTTTGTCCCATTTTTAACCAAAAAAGCAAGGCTAACCCCTTGCAATTTAATTTTTAGGACATTTAAGATAAAATGATATTTCGTCCAATTTTCAACCAAAAAAGCAAGGCTAACCCCTTGCAATTTAATTTTGAGGACATTTTTGAAAAGTTCTATTTTGTCCCATTTTTAACCAAAAAAGCAAGGCTAACCCCTTGCAATTTAATTTTTAGGACATTTTTGAAAAGTTATATTTTGTCCCATTTTTAACCAAAAAAGCAAGGCTAACCCCTTACCAATTAATTTTTAGGACAATTTAGAAAATTGATATTTTGTCCCATTTTTAACCAAAAAAGCAAGGCTAACCCCTTGCAATTTAATTTTTAGGACATTTAAGATAAAATGATATTTCGTCCAATTTTCAACCAAAAAAGCAAGGTTAACCCCTTGCAATTTTATTTTTAGGACATTTAAGATAAAATGATATTTCGTCCAATTTTCAACCAAAAAAGCAAGGCTAACCCCTTGCAATTTAATTTTAAGGACATTTTTGAAAAGTTCTATTTTGTCCCATTTTTAACCAAAAAAGCAAGGCTAACCCCTTGCAATTTAATTTTTAGGACATTTTTGAAAAGTTCTATTTTGTCCCATTTTTAACCAAAAAAGCAAGGCTAACCCCTTGCAATTTAATTTTTAGGACATTTTTGAAAAGTTATATTTTGTCCCATTTTTAACCAAAAAAGCAAGGCTAACCCCTTACCAATTAATTTTTAGGACAATTTAGAAAATTGATATTTTGTCCCATTTTTAACCAAAAAAGCAAGGCTAACCCCTTGCAATTTAATTTTTAGGACATTTAAGATAAAATGATATTTCGTCCAATTTTCAACCAAAAAAGCAAGGTTAACCCCTTGCAATTTTATTTTTAGGACATTTAAGATAAAATGATATTTCGTCCAATTTTCAACCAAAAAAGCAAGGCTAACCCCTTGCAATTTAATTTTAAGGACATTTTTGAAAAGTTCTATTTTGTCCAATTTTTCACCAAAAAAGCAAGGCTAACCCCTTGCAATTTAATTTTTAGGACATTTTTGAAAAGTTATATTTTGTCCCATTTTTAACCAAAAAAGCAAGGCTAACCCCTTACCGATTAATTTTTAGGACAATTTAGAAAATTGATATTTTGTCCCATTTTTAACCAAAAAAGCAAGGCTAACCCCTTGCAATTTAATTTTTAGGACATTTAAGATAAAATGATATTTCGTCCAATTTTCAACCAAAAAAGCAAGGTTAACCCCTTGCAATTTTATTTTTAGGACATTTAAGATAAAATGATATTTCGTCCAATTTTTAACCAAAAAAGCAAGGCTAACCCCTTGCAATTTAATTTTAAGGACATTTTTGAAAAGTTCTATTTTGTCCAATTTTTAACCAAAAAAGCAAGGCTAACCCCTTGCAATTTAATTTTAAGGACATTTTTGAAAAGTTATATTTTGTCCCATTTTTAACCAAAAAAGCAAGGCTAACCCCTTACCGATTAATTTTTAGGACAATTTAGAAAATTGATATTTTGTCCCATTTTTAACCAAAAAAGCAAGGCTAACCCCTTGCAATTTAATTTTTAGGACATTTAAGATAAAATGATATTTCGTCCAATTTTCAACCAAAAAAGCAAGGTTAACCCCTTGCAATTTAATTTTTAGGACATTTAAGATAAAATGATATTTCGTCCAATTTTCAACAAAAAAGCAAGGTTAACCCCTTGCAATTTCATTTTTAGGACATTTTAGAAAATTGATATTTTGTCTCATTTTTAACCAAAAAAGCAAGGCTAACCCCTTGCCGATTAATATTTAGGACATTTTTGAAAAGTTATATTTTGTCCCAGTTTTAACCAAAAAAGCAAGGCTAACCCCTTACCGATTAATTTTTAGGACAATTTAGAAAATTGATATTTTGTCCCATTTTTAACCAAAAAAGCAAGGCTAACCCCTTGCAATTTAATTTTTAGGACATTTAAGATAAAATGATATTTCGTCCAATTTTCAACCAAAAAAGCAAGGTTAACCCCTTGCAATTTAATTTTTAGGACATTTAAGATAAAATGATATTTCGTCCAATTTTCAACCAAAAAAGCAAGGCTAACCCCTTGCAATTTAATTTTAAGGACATTTTTGAAAAGTTCTATTTTGTCCCATTTTTAACCAAAAAAGCAAGGCTAACCCCTTGCAATTTAATTTTTAGGACATTTTTGAAAAGTTATATTTTGTCCCATTTTTAACCAAAAAAGCAAGGCTAACCCCTTACCAATTAATTTTTAGGACAATTTAGAAAATTGATATTTTGTCCCATTTTTAACCAAAAAAGCAAGGCTAACCCCTTGCAATTTAATTTTTAGGACATTTAAGATAAAATGATATTTCGTCCAATTTTCAACCAAAAAAGCAAGGTTAACCCCTTGCAATTTTATTTTTAGGACATTTAAGATAAAATGATATTTCGTCCAATTTTCAACCAAAAAAGCAAGGCTAACCCCTTGCAATTTAATTTTAAGGACATTTTTGAAAAGTTCTATTTTGTCCAATTTTTCACCAAAAAAGCAAGGCTAACCCCTTGCAATTTAATTTTTAGGACATTTTTGAAAAGTTATATTTTGTCCCATTTTTAACCAAAAAAGCAAGGCTAACCCCTTACCGATTAATTTTTAGGACAATTTAGAAAATTGATATTTTGTCCCATTTTTAACCAAAAAAGCAAGGCTAACCCCTTGCAATTTAATTTTTAGGACATTTAAGATAAAATGATATTTCGTCCAATTTTCAACCAAAAAAGCAAGGTTAACCCCTTGCAATTTTATTTTTAGGACATTTAAGATAAAATGATATTTCGTCCAATTTTTAACCAAAAAAGCAAGGCTAACCCCTTGCAATTTAATTTTAAGGACATTTTTGAAAAGTTCTATTTTGTCCAATTTTTAACCAAAAAAGCAAGGCTAACCCCTTGCAATTTAATTTTAAGGACATTTTTGAAAAGTTATATTTTGTCCCATTTTTAACCAAAAAAGCAAGGCTAACCCCTTACCGATTAATTTTTAGGACAATTTAGAAAATTGATATTTTGTCCCATTTTTAACCAAAAAAGCAAGGCTAACCCGTTGCAATTTAATTTTTAGGACATTGAAGATAAAATGATATTTCGTCCAATTTTCAACCAAAAAAGCAAGGTTAACCCCTTGCAATTTAATTTTTAGGACATTTAAGATAAAATGATATTTCGTCCAATTTTCAACAAAAAAGCAAGGTTAACCCCTTGCAATTTCATTTTTAGGACATTTTAGAAAATTGATATTTTGTCTCATTTTTAACCAAAAAAGCAAGGCTAACCCCTTGCCGATTAATATTTAGGACATTTTTGAAAAGTTATATTTTGTCCCAGTTTTAACCAAAAAAGCGAGGCTATCCCCTTACCGATTAATTTTTTGGACATTTTAGAAAATTGATATTTTGTCCCATTTTTAACCAAAACAGCAAGGCTAACCCCTTGCAATTTAATTTTTAGGACATTTTAGATAAAATGATATTTCGTCCCATTTTTAACCAAAAAAGCAAGGTTAACCCCTTGCAATTTAATTTGTAGGCATTTTTGAAAAAAAGAAGAGATTTTGTTTCATTTTTAACAAAAAAAGCAAGGCTAACCCCTTGCAATTTAATTCTGAGGACATTTTAGAAAATTGATATTTTGTCCCATTTTTAACCAAAAAAGCAAGGCTAACCCCTTAGAATTTAATTTTTATGACATTTTAGCCTGAGATAAAATGATATTTCGTCCAATTTTTAACAAAAAAAGCAAGGCTAACCCCTTGCAATTTAATTTTAAGGACATTTTTGAAAAGTTCTATTTTGTCCCATTTTTAACCAAAAAAGCAAGGCTAACCCCTTGCAATTTAATTTTAAGGACATTTTAGAAAATTGATATTTTGTCCCATTTTTAACCAAAAATACAAAGCTAACCCCTTAACGATTAATTGTAAGGACATTTTAGAAAATTGATATTTTGTCCAATTTTTAACAAAAAAAGCAAGGCTAACCCCTTGCAATTAAATTTTTAGGACATTTTAGATAAAATGATATTTCGTCCAATTTTCAACCAAAAAAGCAAGGTTAACCCCTTGCAATTTAATTTTTAGGCATTTTTGAAAAAAAAGAAAAAGATTTTGTTTCATTTAAAAAAAAAAAGCAAGGCTAACCCCTTGCAATTTAAGTTTTAGGACATTTTAGAAAATTGATATTTCGTCCCATTTTTAACCAAAAAAGCATGGCTAACCCCCTGCCGATCAATTTTTAGGACATTTTTGAAAAGTTATATTTTGTCCCAGTTTTAACCAAAAAAGCAAGGCTAACCCCTTACCGATTAATTTTTAGGACATTTTTGAAAAGTCCTATTTTGTCCCATTTTTAACAAAAAAAGCAAGGCTAACCCCTTGCAATTAAATTTTTTGGACAATTTTGAAAAGTTATATTTTGTCCCAGTTTTAACCAAAAAAGCAAGGCTAACCCCTTGCAATTTAATTTTTAGGACATTTTAGATAAAATGATATTTTGTCCCATTTTTAACCAAAAAAGCAAGGTTAACCCCTTGCAATTCAATTTTTAGGACATTTAAGATAAAATGATATGACGTCCAATTTTCAACCAAAAAAGGAAGGTTAACCCCTTGCAATTTAATTTTAAGGACATTTTTGGAAAGTTCTATTTTTTCCCATTTTTAACCAGAAAAGCAAGGTTAACCCCTTGCAATTTAATTTTTTAACCAAAAAAGCTGCAAGGTTAACCCCTTGCAATTTAATTTTTAGGACATTGAAGATAAAATGATATGACGTCCAATTTTCAACCAAAAAAGCAAGGCTAACCCCTTGCTACTTAATTTTTAGGCATTTTAGAAAAAAATATTTTGTTTCATTTTCAACCAAAACAGCAAGGCTAACCCCTTGCAATTTGAATTTCAGGACACTCGGAAAAATATTTCGTCCAATTTCAACCAAAAAAGCAAGGTTAACTCCTTGCAATTTAATTTTTAGGACATTTTTGAAAAGTTATACTTTGTCCCAGTATTAACCAAAAAAGCAAGGCTAACCCCTTGCCGATTAATTTTTAGGACATTTTTGAAAAAAAAAGAGATTTTGTTTCATTTTTAACCAAAAAAGCAAGGTTAACCCCTTGCAATTTAATTGATAAGCCTTTTAGAAAAAAAAGAGATTTTGTTTCATTTTTAACCTAAAAGGCAAGGTTAACCCCTTGCAATACAATTTTGAGGACATTTTAGAACAAATATTTCGTACAATTTCAACCAAAAAAGCAAGGTTAACTCCTTGCAATTTAATTTTTAGGACATTTTTGAAAAGTTATATTTTGTCCCAGTTTTAACCAAAAAAGCAAGGTTAACCCCTTGCCGATTAATTTTTTAAATGATATTTTGTCCAACTTTTACCCAACAAAGCAATGTTAACCCCTTGCAATTTAATTGTTTGGCATTTTAGGGGGAAAAAAGATATTTTGTTTCATTTTTAACCAAAAAAAGGCAAGGTTAACCCCTTTGCAATTTAATTTTTAGGCATTTTAGAAAAAAAGAAGATATTTTGTTTCATTTTTAACCAAAAAAGCAAGGTTAACCCCTTATTTAATTTTTAGGACATTTTAGAAAAGTGATATTTTGTCCCATTTTTAACCCAAAAAGCAAGGTTAACCCCTTGCAATTTAATTTTTAGGACATTTTTGAAAAGTTATATTTTGTCCCAGTTTTAACCAAAAAAGCAAGGCTAACCCCTTGCCGATTAATTTTTAGGACAATTTAGAAAATTGATATTTTGTCCCATTTTTAACCAAAAAAGCGAGGTTAACCCCTTGCATTTTAATTGTTAGGACATTTTAGAAAAATGATATTTTGTCCAATTTTTAACCAAATAATACAGGTATAACCCCTTGCAAATTAATTATTACCCTATAGATGCGACAAGCTTGCTGGTAAAGAAATCAGGCTTTGACAAGCAACATATTAAACTATGTTTACATTTGGCCAAAGCAGTTTATTGCCAGATCGATTATCAGCAATAATTTTCTGGTCGCAGCGATCCGCGAAATTGTTGTCATTTGTGTAGACAAATGTCAAATTGTCTTAAGTTGTTTTTGATTATGGTAATTGACAAACATTAACATATACATGTATATTAACACTGATTTTCCAGTCGTAGCGAAAATCTGCAGCTCAATGTCACTTTTCCCGGTTGTAGCAATCCCCGTGAAACCCAATAACGGAGCACTAACAATAACTGTACAAGTACATTTCCGCTCCCGCGAAACCCCAAAACATGGCAAAAACAAAAACTGTACAAGTACATGTACAATTTTATTTCCGGTCGTTGTGAACCTTCCAAAATAACAACATATATTGTCAATATTCCAGTTTGTTTCGGGCCGTAGTGATCCCTACAAAAGCCAATAGCCACTTACGGTTATTGCGTGCCAAGCAAAACATTTCATCATAATGTTCATCCACATTAATTTGCCAAAATATTGGCATGTTTCACGAATGCCACTAATTAACAAGGATTTATATTAAAACAAGGTCTGTTGTACAAAAAAACTACAGGAAGGTTCAACAAAAGCCTGTGAAAATTGGGTGTATTGATTGACATTTAAAATGACACCTGACGTGACTTTTATCAAATTCCATATTTTCAATGGTGACAACAAAATTTGAGGATGTCAACCTTGAGTTTACTACATGTTTAGATACTCAAAACCTTTTTGCACCATTAACAAGGTTAACCCCTTGCAATTTAATTTTAGAACATTTCAGAAAATATATATTTTGTCCCATTTTTGAAAGCAAGGTTAACCCCTTGCTAATTGATTTTTACGAAAACTTTAGAATCTTAATTTGTTTGCCCATTTTGAATATAAGTACAAGGTTAACCCCTTTAGACGTTGTTGGAGAAAACAAAAACAAGGTCAACCCCTTGCAAGCTGTTTAGAAACGTAAAATGTTTGCACCCTTTATATAATATTAAAAGCAAGGTTACCTCCTAGCTAATGTATTTTTGTTACCTGAACAGGCGGATGTCCAAAAATGAGAGCCTGAAATAAATGTTTAAGAAACGAAAATGTTTTTGGAAGTCTTTAGATGTTTTTATTCCAGATAAAAATGTGAGCATGTTACATCATTTAACCTTCATTTTTCTCAATAAGTAGTTTAACCGAGTCATAAATTCAAAGATGAGGTGATAGTCCAATAAGATGCTTATGGCGATACTCATAATATTCTTCAGCACTACAGACAACCACCACAGAGATTTTTCCTAAAAAAAAGTTACAGATTCAAGTATAAATGACGGGAATTGTCGAAAACAACTCTTAAAACCCCCAAACCTCACCAAATAGCAAAACTACAGTAAAAAATTAAACAAAAAGAAAGGAACAATTTTTTTTTGGACATTGGGAAGAAATGTTTTGTTGCTCAAAAGCAAAGTACTGATTGACAGTTATGATCTTCAAAAAAATGAACGCAAAAATGATACAAACTATTTTAATACTTTTATCATGTGTGTAAAGAGGCATGTAATTTTGGAATAAACATTGTTGGCCATTGTACAATGTACATGTATTTCTTCAATAGCTGCTGTGGGACACACAAGTGATATCTTGAATTTTCATTGCACATTTTTGTCGCAACTTTCCTTTATCGCTGCATATCCACACCTCAGCCAGACGTAATCCTGAAACTCACATCAAATGTGAAATGGCTATTAAAAGGTTGGCTACAATTTGAATGACATGTCAAATGAAAATTCAAAAGCTGATGGAATACACATTTGCATCTGCAATAGGACAAAAAAATTCCAGCTACATGATTTCATGACCTCATCAATACAGGGCGAATCAAAAAAAGAGGAAACCCTATTGGCAGTCACCCCTGTTTTTTTAAGGCAATTCTGCATGTAGAGCTTTCCAGATCTAGGTTGTTAAAGTCCAATTAATATGCATTCCTTCGTAAAAATAAATCATTCAAATCACTTACGTACTTTTCCAGTTATGAAATTTTGAACACAAAGTTTTAAATTTTTGTCCATGGATCACATTAAGGTACATGTATGTAATATTTTGAGTAAAGTGAAACCATGTGGTGTCATGAAAACAATATCAGAAAGTTTCCGGGGTAGCCAAGTAGAAGGCAGGACAAGACTATAATTAAAACTCTTGGCATTATAACCATCTTGTTTTAACATTGGAAGCAAAAGGTGTTTATATATAGGTAATGATGAGGTTTACATAGGTTATGATAAGTGCCAGTTACCATGATTATGATAGTGTACTGTTTTTTTTAATATGTGAATTGTCTTTGATTAACTGCTATATCCCTACCTTTATAATGATAAGTGGACAAGATAAAACTGTTTGTGTTGTAAAGTCCATGACTGAAAATGGAAATTAGCGATTTGAATTATTCTTTTACTAATGAAAGCTCATACTTGGGCTTTCACATCCTAGATCTTTCACATCCTAGATCGTTCACATCCTTTTTCTTACTCGTCCTGTACTTTTTTTTTCAAAGGAAAAAGCATCATGGCAGAGCGTACAAGGTCACATTTCAATTTTAAGGTTTTGACCAATTATGAAACAAGTTGCAAATTAATTATCAAAATTTCACCATTAAAGTTCTTCCTTTGCTTTCTTGGTTGTCAGAGTTGAAGCATTGTCCTCAATAAACTTACTCAGTGCTTCAATTGATCGGTCACCCCCTTCATATTTCAGAGGGTTCTTTTTATCATTGGCCTTGGCAAGATAGATGGTCGGGAAACCAGACGAACTGTACTCGCTTGGGGTGTCATTGGCTGTTGCATCCATCTTGGCTACGACAACACTGGGATGGTCCTTATACTTCTTGGCTAGTTTCTTGTAGGTTGGTTCCAACTTCTTGCAGTGACCACACCAAGGTGCATACAGCTCAACCAGCACATCCTTCCTTTTATCAAACACAATCTTGTCAAAGGTTTTCCCGACTAAGACGGTGACTGGGCTTGACTGCTTACGGGGAATGGGTTGTGACTTGATGATAGGCCTGAGTTTGTCTGTTGAATATCAAAACAAATAAATATCTATAAATACTTTGGAATGTGTATTAATTAGCTTTAATACCTTCATATTCATGAGCGAGAACTAAATTCTTACTGGTCAATTCAAAATCATGTGACAGCCTCAAATTTTGTTTTGTACATGCACCAGCCATGCACACAGGTAATTTAGGTACAGTGCAAAAATGCAAAATTGTAAATTTACCTCAGAATACCTGTGCAGGTAATATAGTGATTATCCACCCTGACACCATGTTATATTTGTATATTATTACAGTTTTGGAGAGAAATAGGGAAACATGGTTAAAGTTTTGAAATTCAATACCCACCGTCTCTCCAGGCTCTTATAAACTCCCTCAGCATGTCCGAATCAAAGTCTTCATCTGGCTCCATCTTGTATTTCTTTCCGTCCGTGAAGAGACCGATGTTTATTTCTTCTCCACTGTCATCTAATTCAAGTTGTTTGAGTTGGTCATTGAATTCGTCTTCCTCAGCGATGGCAAAAGTTAAGTCCTTGAACTCTTTGTCCTTGGCCACGGCAAGAATTTTCTGACGCCAGATCTCAGTTGCTGTACAGTTAAAATTTGTCACAAAGACTGTTAGTACACTGTAATAGAGAGTGTTTTCGATTTGAAATACAGCACATAAACTCTTGTCAAGTAATATTTCAAGGGAATGGATACAAAATTTGAGGTACCCCAAGGATAAGATAAGCAAGGTTCCCAATTTTTCTGCAAGCATATGTCACGTTATTTGGCACACTTTCCTTCTGGTTTTGTTTCATTCTAATGGTGTAGTTTTTTTTTAGTCAAAATCATCATTTTGCTCAGATATAATACTGTCCTTACCTACAAATGTCTGCTCTATAGATAAACATGACAATGAACAATCTATCATCGCTTGAGGGCACACCAGCTGCAACTGGGCGAGCGGTAGCGATCAGGATCAGTCAAGCGCATCCTCACAGGTTCCAATGCGATCACATGGCCATAGCTTAACGCCAGTGATTTAACTGCTGGCGTGCCGGTTACAATTGGGCCAGCGGTAGCAATCACGCTAAATCAAAAGCCAGTTTTTGCACCGTTACGGGCAGGAGTCCGATCACAATGGCAACGGCGGAAATCACTTGTGATAAAGTCTCGCTTTTCTTTTTTTACGCTTTTTTGTGACTGTATTAGGCAGCGGTTCCTCATGGACTGGCCGAACAAGAGTTCAAGTTAAACGGTGCAGGCATTGTGAGTTACGGGGTATTCATGTACATAATATCCAATTCTCTCGACGGGAATGGAGTATTGTCCGAATTTGAGTAAACGAGAGTTTACTGTATATGGTAAGAACATCAAGGGTTCAAAATCTTATTTGTGAGGAAATTTAGGTCTCCTGAGATTTGACAAGGAAATCTGATATTCTTACCCTTTCTGTGTTCAAAGCTCCAGTCCACATCATAGTATGCTACTATCAGTGGTCTGTCTTTGTAGCGCTTGTCCATGTTTTCCTTTGTCATGTGACCAACCAAAGGAAGGTCATTGTCACTGTAAAAGCTCTGGATCTCGGCAGCTGAGGCACCAGCCTATAATACAATAAATGGGAGTCTTGTTAATCTATCAATCTTTATACTCACACCTATGGGTCATTCCAGAAATTTGTGGTCCAATTTCTTTGAGTCCCGGTTACATTTGATTTGTACATGGCATGTTACTGGGGTTTGACCTTATTTTTCTTTTCCACTAGCCATTCGGTCTACTGAAACAGACTCTTAACTAGCCCGCGGGCATTTTCACTAGCCCGCATGTTTTTCTTTTATAGAGTGTCTCATAAACAACAATACGCATACATGTAAAACGTGTATCCTGAGGCAATCTTGTCAGTGTTTTTAATAAACGGATCTAATAAATTTACCCTAACCAGTTAATAAATAAGGCACAAATGATACAGGTTTGCTTTCTGAATTTATTGAATAACATATATTTCTTCCTGTCCTTTTATCTTTGCTGTAGCCCAATAATTACTACTCATCAGCCGGGCTACTTCAGGAATAGTTTGACTAACCTGCCGCTGTTTTGACTGGCATTTGGCTAGTGGACTACCACTGAAGTGGAACCCCTATATTACACAGGTCAGGTTTACACCTGAGGGACGCACAAATGTCACACTTTTGGACCACAAATTTCTGGAACAACCCATATACAAAAGGATTGCCCATGTTTTGTTTAAACAGTGCAAGGCTGAAATGTTGTTGAGATTCCAAAGACGTTTGTCACTAAAGAAGGTACTTTTTAGTCCATGATGCAATCATTGCATTTACTGTACTGTCAATGTTTTTTCAAGACTGCTACTCACCTTGTCAAAGACATGCCTTTTGGGTTCATATTTTGACTGGAATCTCTCTGGCATAAAGATAACGATGGAGTTGGGATTGACTTTGTAGTTGGCCATCAACTGGTGGTCAAAGGTGTGTCCAAACCGATAGTCTTCTCTCAAGTCGTTACCTAGGAACAATAATTCTATGCATTAGATTTTGTATCTCGAATTACAATTTTGAAATTGAGGTAGCAGTGTGGAGTTTGGCTGACGGCTTTTGGCAGTGAATGAAATAAAGGGCCCATACAATGTTTTTTTTTCAATTAATGCAATCCTTGAAAATGTACCTTTGTGTCCCATTTTACCTTATTTTCAATTTTGATTAGCCGTTTACAAGGGTATTTTGGTGCCTGTTTATTTTTTTTTTGCTTATGCAATTTCCATATTCGTGAGCAAAAGTTTCATGCCAATTCAGCTAGAAACCTCAATGTTTCAAGAACTGTGGATATTTTGCTGTTGTATATTCTGTTCTTTGGTGATTCCTTGTTGTGTCAGTGCATTTGTACATGGCAGTAAGCCAGTGAGTAAATTTTTCAAACAAATATTTTCAATGAGCAAATTTTTGGGTCCACAATTTGAACAGAAAGCCTGAACTGAACAGTGTCTTCCTGAAATCACATCATAGCAACAGTGCCCTTCTGGAAAGCATGGAAAATTGTTAAATGTTTAAAAAGTGCACTTTTCAATCAAGTTAACCAAAAAGGGTGTCAAACAGTTTTCATACATTTAAGAAAATTAAAAAGATGCACAATATGCACAAGGTATGTAATCGTGATCAGTAATTTGTGAAATACTTGAAAGTTTAAAATGAACTTGGGTTGTGTATATATCGCTTGCTTTAATTCTATGATATTTCTATTTGTACTTGTAAGCATTAATGTTCATCACCTGTTTCACCGGTGCACTTTTCCTTATGACTTTTGATTTTGCTTAACAAAAGTAATCTGGAATGTATGCACGGCCCCAATAGAAACCAGTTTAAAACTGTTTGAGCTCACTCTGGGTAAAGAAAATGCAATAACAAGTACTGAACTCTAGCCTTCTAGCCAGCCTACCTATACATGTGTACAAAGATTCCTGATCTTCAAGCATAATATACTAACCTGCCTCTAAGTATGTCTTGTACAAGTCCTCCTCCTCTGTCTTAAAAAATCCAACGATGCTGATGTCTTCTTGGAACTCCACAAACTGCTTGAGGGCCTTAGGAGACGCAAGATGCTCTGAACTATCACCAGCTTGTTTCCTCATGTATTCAAGGATCCCTAGTGCACACATGAAATTCACATTACATGTCGTTAGCAGAGTAAATGCCATGATAACTAGTTGTTTAATATGTTATCTATGGGCTCTGTGCACAAGTACCCCATCGACGGCCAGAAAGGGAGAGTTACCGGTAGGGGTGATCTAGACTTGTTCCCAGTCCATCCACTGCGTATTTCGAATGCATCCAAATTTATTGGAGGCGGGGATTAGTTTGGGAGACCATCGGCAAGTTGAATTTGAATGTATTCGTGCACCAACGACGCCCGACACTCACGCAAAGATGCAGTGGCTAATAACTTTTGCACATTCAAGAAGTTGTGCGTACTTCAGGCGCGAACCATCACAGTATGCGAATGCTGTGTGTCCCGTCCACAGAGCTCTCAAGAGGTAAAAACACTTTTGTTGGCGCACAGAGCCCATATGTCAGGGAGGTCTTTATTACAATAAGCTGATGAGCAATGTTTACTGCATGGAAAGGGTGCATTGAAAACTCCTTGGCTCTTCAATGGGAAACATATATTGAAATAGACTGAGCTTTCAAATAATTAAGTATTAGATCTAACCGATATTTGAAACTGGCTGATCAAATTTTTCACACGCCAGCTGCAGCAGCCTTCCTCGCAGGTCAAAAGTTGCTGCAAAGCGCTCCAGTTAAAATGTGCATGCAGCGATGTATATCATGGGTCGCTGGAGAGTTTTGCAGTAAGTACTGTTTAAATGTCAAATGAATGAGACCAGTAACTGTAAATGGTAAAAAAAGTGGCATCTGACAATAAAAAAAAAATATTGATCAGAACATCACAGTTGCGTTTTTGCGAATATTCAAACCAGTAAAAAGCTGTTTTGAGTATTCAGTTGATGATGAAATATTTCGAAATTGTTTACCTCTTTTTTCTCTTGGACCCTTGTACTCGGATTTTTCTCCATTCCTAAAGATGAATAGAGTTGGATAGCCACTAACTCCAAACCTAGTTGCCAGGTCCTTTTCTTCTGTAGCATCAACTTTGGCGATTGAAATTGGAGGATCATCATCCTTCAGAACACCTGCGGCAGCCTCCAATTCTGGGGCAAGTCTTTTGCAATGACCACACCTATTAGATAATTGAGAGAGCTTTCATCATAATGCTATCTCACTAACAGACAATAACACATTCACAAACACGAAGCCCTTACAATTTGAACTTCTGTAAACATTTAATTTACATTTTCGTAACGTGAGTAACCAATTTTGTGCGTCTTGGTTATAATACATAACACATTTTTCTGGATGTCATCTTTGGTGCTTAGGTAGGTCTAGGTCAATTCTATCTACCATGGGGATAGCAGTTATTAAACCTTTTCAGTAAGGTAATTACAGCCCAAAGAAACTCAAAAGTACATCAAAAAATGTAACGTGAGTAACCGTGGAATTGCCTTAATGCCCAAATCAATCAATTTCTGAAAATTACAGCAAAAGCAAATGTCGTATAGTACCTTTAAACAACTGGATTTTTAATCCTCTTCTCTTTCACAACTTTCTTACCATGGAGCATAGAACTCTACAAGAATGGGACCAGCCTGGTTGACTATTTCATCGAAGTTCTCAGAAGTCAAGGTCATTACTGCCTCTGGTGGGGGCTCCCAGTTTGGATCAGACTGCTCTTTCATGTATCTCACAATACCTTTGAAGATGAAGACAAGCCTCAGTAATATGTAATCAGATACACAAGGGCAATTTTTGAACTGCTGTTATCATGTCCGTTTATGACAATAAATTGCTACCAACTAACACTTAGGCAAGAGTACCACATGATGAGTAGTATAGAGTACATTAGTGGTGGGAGAAATTGGAAATTTCTAAATCAGGTATGTTCAAACATAACAGTTATCTGATTTCACCACAACTTCCAATCCAGCTCACAGTCAAGCCAACAAAAATTTACAAGTGAGGTGCCACATGCAATGCCCTCCCAATGACTAGGTATAGTTTGCAGGATTCAATGACCACTGGACCTTCACAAAAACCACTGCAGAGCTGTACTGTGGACAATCGTGGTGGGAACTCTCTGCTGAGTCGATTGGGCAGGCTACTCATACATCAAAATGACCACTTCCAAACAAGTGAATGCAGTTATTGCAGTCCTCGAGTGTCGGGGTTATCCTGTTTGTGAACACGTTGTTATGTATATAATGATATGTATTTATTGTGATTTTTATCTTCTCCTTTTATGAACGTCTTGTTGGAAATAAATTAAAAAAATAATCAGAGACCATACAGCAAATATGGGGATGTTCCAGTTGTTTTCTTTAGCTTGTATTCTCAAAACTGGTAGGCGTATTTTTTTTTCAAGGTTGGTTTCCGATACCGGCTTCAAAAATATAAACCGAATAGTGAAATCAAACCAAATGTCAAAAAAAAACTGTATTTAAATCCCACCATTCATCTGTACTTAGTTCAACATTGTTACCAACCTGCTTCATCTCTTGGTCCTTCATAATTCGAAGCCTCTCCTTTCCTAAATATCTTGAGGGTTGGGTATCCTGTCACTTCATATCTCTGAGCAAGGTCTGCCTCCGCTGTGGCATCAACCTTAGCAAAAAGGACAGGGGGGTCAGCTTTCTTCATTGTTTGGGCTGCTTTGGCGTACTCTGGAGCAAGACTCTTACAATGACCACACCTGAAAGATATGCAAGTACACATCATTTCCCAAACTTTTAAGTTCACATGTTTCTAATCGCATAGATGTTTGGCTAAGATATTAACTCGAATAGATTATGAGTTGCATCAATGTTTCTAGAAAATTTTCATCAGGCTTTATCTAAATCAGGGCCGATGATACCCGCCCTGGTTTTAACCTGAATACTCTCAAAAGATCTGAACTTTCTGATGCAGTTATCTAACTAAACACATGCTGAAAGACAACTTTGCTACAAGTACATACATAGGGCCCACAAGTACTATATTCAAGTTTGTTTGTTAAACATGTAGGCCTATATTTGCTACTCTGAGAAGTGGGGTTGGGGGGACTTACCAAGGGGCATAAAACTCCACCAAAATGATGTCTTTATTCTTGACAACATCATCAAATTTATCACTTGTGAGCACAAGGACTCCATCTTCTTCTGTTACCTCTGGCTCCTCATTATCATCTTCATCATCACCCATGTCCATGAGAGCATCCTCATCTAAGATGACTGTCTCTCCTGGCTTCAAATCATCTTCTGTGGCTGATGGTTTGCAGAAATTGGAAATAGAATGTTTCAAAAAGGGAACTGCAAAACCCCGAAGTAAAATACAATATACATAAATTTGCAATGTATATGTACAAACAGGGTGATTAAAAAAAACGAAACCCAAATGTCAGGCCTATTGTTTTAGTGAAGTTCTGCATGTAGCACTTTCAAAATTGCGGATGTGAAAGCCAAATTCATAAGCTTTATTTTAGTTCAGCAATCATTCAAATCATTGATGTACTTTTCAAGCTCATGTGCTTTCAAAATTGGCAGTGGATATTTTGCCGGAGACGGCAAGCCTTTAGTAAACGTTAGCTTGCTGGATATGCACTGAACATGCGCAGTTACTATTTTTTTGTACTTAAACATTTTCCGGTGACAAGTTTTAGTCATGACGTGTGCATCCAAAAATGTGCTCTAAAAACACATTTTTCCTAATTTTTTTTCACCTTAACACAGCTTCCTGGATTTCTCTTGCTTGAAATCACAAGGTGAGGTGACAATTAAAATGTTTGGCAGCAGATAAATTGACGATCGAGTATGGAACTTTTCCCCCACAATCTTCAAAATTACAACTAGAAGTAGGCCTAGGCCAACATGTAGCAAGTTTTCATGTTTTTGTAAATTGTAGCATGGGTTTAATATCTGAAGAAAAAAAAGACTGCTTTAGCCTGCAAAAGTCACTTTGGTAATGGACAGACATCTGCAAAAGTCAGTTTTGAACGGAACTCATACAAAATAGAGGTGTCTTACAGATAATCATTGATAAAGATTAGGCAGTGTATATTTTGCCGGAGACGGCAAACCTTTAGTAAACGTTAGTTTGCCGGATATGCACTGAACATGCGCAGTTACTGTTTTTTTGTACTCAAACATTTTCCAGTGACAAATTTTAGTCTGGCTCCATGCCAATATTATTATCGTTGTAACCTCGTATTCACAAGATGGGATTCAGACCATTTTATAATTTCGGACTTTATTTCCCTTTAAAAAAAATCCTCCAGAGCCACAAATCTGAAAAAGAAAATGTAATACTCTACAATAAAATGTTTGAGACATGTTAAAATAATAAAAGAAGAATATTCTTATTTATTTGAGGATGGGAAAAAAAAACTTAAAATGTGGCTGGGATCGGGATCGAACCCGAGTCATCCCGCTTACTAATGCCTTTGCTTAACCACTATACCAAACGTGCTTCACAACTTTTGGTGGGAATTTAATACATCTTATAATTCAGCCCTATCTTAAAGAGTACAGCGCCCTCTGTTGATATGGATTGCCGCCGGCAAACCTTTAGTAAACGAAGTGGCTATCGTTACGGCAGTCGTTGTTTAGCGCCCTCTACGATACTTTTTTGATACGCACGCAGGTATATAATTATTTGTTTCCACACGTTTTAGCGAGCAGTGCGACAGCTCAGTCGATAGAGGGTAGGATTTTGCACTGCGCGCGAGGTTGCGGGTTCGAATCTCAGTTTTGCACTCGAATTTTTTTCCTTTTCTAACCTGAGGCTTTGGAGGATTTTTTTTTAAAGGAAAATAAAGTCCAATAAGCCTAAATTTCATAACGTTCAAATTCACTTTTTTCCTTCTAATTTTATATTTTCTTGTCATGTTTTTATAAAAGTTGCAGGCAGTCTACCGTAACGATAGAAAATGGGAAATGCGTTACGGCTGCCGTAACAATAGCCACTGCGTTTAGTAAACGTTAGTTTGCCGTCATTACCTCCGGCAAAATATCCACTATCTAATATTACCTTTTTTTTCTATGTCCAGTTTTTATCACGATAAAGCTGCAATGCCTTAGCAAGTCAGCTGGCCATAGCTCCTGCGTCTGTGCGTGATTAACTAGATTTGCAAAGAATTATTACCTTTATCCACTTCCACTGGGGCTTCTTCATCTTCACACCGGGCAGCAGGACAAGAAAAAAGAATAAGCCCCAAAAGGGCAACAAAATAAAACAGGTTTTTGGGCAACATTACGACCGAAAGTTTCCTCGTCAAATGACACGCGTGAAACAGGTGCAAGAACAGTTCACTTAATAATAACAGATACGTGCGCCATCAACAAAGTAGGACCGTGAAATCTATCATGACTATCAGAGAAATAACAATGAATTTATTTACACATTGAATTACTTCGAAGCAATTACAAAACTTTTTAAAGGGTTAAATTTTCTAGATTTTAAAGGAAACAAAGAAAAATACAATAAACCAGTGTGCGGAATGTTTTCCGAAATTGCACATTCAGCCAATCAGGTTCTGCCATGTCTGCTTCTAGAGAGCCTGTCGTCTGCTCCAAAACAACTGGAACTACTTTACCGAAAATAGTCTGGTGCACTGAAACTCACGGTAAACACATTTCGTGTGAAGTCTAGTTGCACGTCAGCCTCCGTAGCTATAAAAGAAAACTGTTTTGTGCCAAAAAAAGTGTATAGTCGTGTACGTACTCTAACGTGGCGCACTTCGAAGCCTACCCGACTTTCCTCGTGTAGTGTTGCCAAACCTCTTTGTTGACAAACCTCAAATTCCTGCAGTGAAATACTAGTACTTTTACCTTATCAATGCTTGCTATTTTACCTCTGTGAACAATTTCAGTTTCATAAAATTTAATCCGAAATTCAAAAACGGTGGTGTCCGGAAATTGGGCACAAAGTGGCGGAGTGTTCCCTAACGTGGCGCACTTGAATAAATCTTGGAAAATTCCAAATTAACACTTACGAATTCCTGTAAACTTGATAAATTCTGATAAGTAATTAATATCTTTACTTACATACCCAGCCAAATGTTTGTCAGAAAATTATTTTCTTATTTTTCAGGGCATTTTCAAAGGGTTCACTTTGCACTTGAAAATAAAATCGGAAAATCACGCCAAAATAGCTTTTCCTTCTAACTTTGTTACGGGTAAATAAACTCGCGATTTATGAACAGGACCGTTTAGAACTTGATGAAATTTCACTTTCTGTGAAATTTCAGTTTAAAATTTTGCTCAAGGTAGGCGCTACCGGCGAAAAATCCAAGTGCGCCACGTTAGGGGCCGCGCCACGTTAGGGTACTTCAACAATATATTTTGCCGTGAAATCATAATTAAGAAATGAATTTGACAATGAAAGTGAAAGACATTTTATTTAACAAGGACGAACAATTATTGATGATTGGATTAAAATCGTGCGCTCTATACTAGCACTTCCCGTATAATAACCCCTCTCAATTTCTCAGTATTTGAGATGTATTTTTTATCTGCGCAATTTAGGTCATAAAGGAACTTGAACGCTCATTATGCATGGTTAATACTAATAATAGGCCTCACTTTTAGAAAGAAAGATTTGGCCTTGTTTATATAACAGTGCAAACCTTCCTAAATTCGAACATCATCCTCCCAATTTAAGACAGCCCCATAGTAGGAAAACATCTTGCATCACAACCTTAATTTCACGCTTGCACAGCACAGGCGTAAAGTCAAACTGGATGATGATGCCTAGCGGGGATATCCAGTCAACTTTCTGAGATTCTGAGATTCAAACAAAACGTTGTGATACATAAACTACATAGGGTTGTGGGCGTGGCTGACTCGCAAACGGCGATAGGTCAATAGCGCCCTCTATATCTCGTATCAAGTATAGCGCCCTCATGGTGTGTGTCTTTTGCATGCTCGCGCCGATGAGCTGTCAAAAAGCGAAGTGTAAACTCACTGACGGCCGGAGTCGTGCAAAAAAATAAACAAAATGCAGAAATTTGAGCGATTAGAGAAAATCGGAGAAGGTAGGTATCCCAACGTACTTTTTAGACAAACTGATGAGATTAATACAAATCAGGATGCTTCTTAGGAGTCTACTCATCAAGAACTAGTCTAGCTGAGTTGCACTGTTTACGTGAATAATTATTTATAATACTAACATTAACAATGATGCCCAGTTTACGGACACGATTGGGCGTTTGTGTAGTTGCGGACCCTGTTCTAATAAGGGAACGAAAATATATCCGCAACTTTGGGACTCACCTAAGGAGATTACGTTGTCACCAAGGTGTATATCTACAGGATTAATTTTTTGGAAAGAGGGCAGGGTTTACTCCTAGAACTATGAACAATGAAGAGTAGGCAGGTTTTTTTTTTTTAACTAGGGAAATTATGGAGTAAAAAACGACAGCAACAAACATGACAAAACAGATGAACATGGCGGCTAGTTTTAAAAGTGCGCCCTCACGTGTTTACAATGTACAACTTTCCAATAAAAACAACAAGCTGGTTTGGTCATGTTGGTAGAACGTTGCTGATACTACTTACTAGGTTGATAAAAAATAATAGTAGCCAACTTTGGGACTCCATTTAAGTAGAGGACAACAACACTAGCCTATCTTGAAAACAAACTTGGCAATTGTGTCCAAGCAGGTTTGGTAGCCTGTTTAAAACATGTTCCTTTATCTCGAAATCTTCATTTATCTCATCTGGCGAATAAAAATGACGAATATGCATGCCATTTAGGCAAGGTTATGAATATGCATTGTGCAGTTCATGACCTCGTGCTTGTATGGCTGGCCTCACTGCGCCGTGCCCCTGACAACACGAGGTCTACCCTAATTGGGTTCTCATTGAGCCCCATTGGTATGGGTAGGCATGTGATTGTGTGGCTCACAATATGGAGGAAGTGCAGTATTTGAGCCAAATTTATGGGGCTATGAATAGTTGAAATGAACAACAATTTCTCATTTTCTACAAGGACTAGCAGAATATTTGAAGTCACGTCCCACGTTTAAACAAAGTCAAAATCTGTATTTTTTTCCAAATCGTAGACTTTTTAGAAGTTGTATTGAGTGGGCCTATTGTTTGATTTTTGTTCATGTTCAGGAACATATGGCACAGTTTTCAAGGCTAAAAATAAGGAAACCCAAGAAATTGTGGCACTGAAGAGAGTGAGACTGGATGATGATGATGAGGTAGGATTACAATGACTGCATTGTCCATACAACTTCTATGCTCCGTATTGATTGTCTCAGATTTCGCTTTTGAATAAAAAAATTGTTTTGCCTCAAATTGCTAGTGCAGAGTTTTCCAAGTATGCAGAAACATTACGATTTATTAATATATCACTCGAAATTCATACATACCAAATATGTGCATGTCCTGTACTTGTACCACTGTCATTTTGTCAATGTCAGGCCAGCATAATTTTTAGATTTTTTTATAATAAAAATTGTTGCACTTTACGGTTTACTTTTATTCAAGCAAAAAAAAGGCTGTGAAATGCGCTTTGATATTTTCAGGGTGTGCCAAGTTCAGCCCTCCGAGAGATTTGCCTCCTGAAAGAACTCAAGCACAGAAACATTGTGCACTTGCATGACGTCTTACATTGCAATCGGCGGCTCACATTAGTTTTTGAGTGCTGTGACCAGGACCTCAAGAAGTACTTTGATGCCTGCAATGGAGAAATTGACCCAGATGTTGTCAAGGTTGGTATATTGCAATCAACGTCAACACTTAAGAAGCTGACATGTAGACAGAAAGGGTATTAAAGAGTTGGCTTGGTAGTGTTACATGTTTCTTTTTAAGGGGGCGTCAATTCAGATATCCCTCAAGACAATTTTATTTTTCAATCCAATATTGACTTAAGTAAATCTTATCTGTGATAAGGGATTTTGAATGTAATTAAATATCCACTTTTTATCTTTCATGTTTCTGTTTCAGTCTTTCATGTTCCAGTTGTTGAGAGGTTTGGCATTTTGTCACAGTCAGAACATACTCCACAGGGATCTCAAGCCGCAGAATCTTCTCATAAATAAGGTACAGAAACATCTCCAGTTCTTGTCACCTCTGGTATTGATATTCTTCCCAGATGTGTAATTGTCAGCCCTAGACATGCTACATGCTGTACAAGGATGTTTTATAAGAAATTACATCATTGTCTTACAATGTATGTGTTTGTCTTTTTTTTTCAGAATGGTGAATTGAAACTGGCTGATTTTGGTCTAGCGAGGGCGTTTGGCATTCCAGTGAGGTGTTTCTCTGCAGAAGTCGTAACCTTGTGGTATAGGCCCCCTGATGTGCTGTTTGGTGCTCGGATATACACAACTTCTATTGACATGTGGTCAGCAGGGTGCATATTTGCTGGTGAGATATTTTCTGCATAAGTAACTCCTCAGTGGTATAAATGCACTGGGGCCATCATCAGTAACTTTACTACTTTCAGTAGATGCTTAGGCACAATTTCTGCTGTCTACCCATAGCATTTGTCTCTTCAGTCTGTGGTCATTTAGTTCACATTCACTGCATTTGCATAAAAGATACTACCTGTCATAGGCCTTATGAGCGTGTCCATCATGTCACAACAACTTTATGCCACAGTAGACAGCTTCTTTTAAGTGTTTTTTTTTATTTTCTTGCCAGAGATGGCAAATGCTGGCAGGCCACTCTTTCCAGGCAATGATGTGGATGATCAACTGAAGAGAATCTTCAAACTCCTAGGGACACCTACAGAGGAAACATGGCCTGGTATCTCAAAGCTACCAGACTTCAAGGTAAATGAGGCTGTTTTCATGTGTGTGTCCTCACGCTTTCATTCTCTGCCTGAGGCAATGGCACTGACACCTTATGGACCAATTATGGAGATTGTTCACATGACCCTTCCTTTTCCACCAACTTATGTAATACTAACTCCCTTGTGGCGTTTTTGCTGGGATGTAGCCTCAATCTTGCAAAATCCTTCAAATGCCTCCATGTAACAATGACATTCAGCCTCAATCCTGTAAAATCCTCAGTTATTTCTTGAAGTTGGTCTTTGGAGGGGTGACCACTGCCTCCAATCCTGCAAAATCCTCCAGCTATCACTGTCAACATGTCAAGGCAGAGCCGAGACATCTTGGAGCAGTGCAGAGGGTTGCAAGTATAACAAAGGCCTAAATGTATGCATGGCTGGGCACAAACAACACAAGACCTTGACACAGTGCATCCTCCGAAATCAGCAACACACTTTTTCCATGTACTCTCAATCTGGAAAAATCCTGTATTTTTGCAAAGAGGATTTTGGAGGATTTTGGAAGGTTAGGGTTAATAGTGTGATTTTCTACTGTTACAGCCCTACCCTATTTGCCATGCCAGTACGCCCCTCTCCACAGTTGTTCCGGGTCTCTCAGCCAAAGGTCGTGACCTGTTGCAGCGGCTGTTGGTGTGTAACCCATCACTTCGTTTGTCTGCCGAGGAGGGTCTTATCCATAGTTACTTTGCTGACCTCAATCCTGCACTGAAGGCAATGTAAACAAACAATTGTAACAACAGTCACTTGTTTCATTACATGTATATAATTATGACTTCAAGCTTTGCATGGTGGATGTGATAAAGTGGAAAGATTGTGGGTAACACCATGAGGAAAGTAATCTCTTCTGGGAAGAACTGTGGTGTTGAGAAGAACTGGTTGGTTGAGGACGGACAGAACACACTGTCCGAAACGTCGAGTTCTACACTCAACCAACCGGTTCGTTTCAGAACCACACTTCTTCCAAGAAGAGATTACTTTCCACATGGTGTTACCCGCAACCTTTCTACTTTGTTTCATTATGATGGCTTTGCAACTATATTTCCATGATTTCGTTTGTTTACAAGTACAGTGCAGCGTTCAAATGTTAGAAACTTAAAACTATTCTGTCACATGGATGTGAAAATGATACGTACCATCGACCATGCTTCCGAACTCTGTCAGTGTGAAAATAAATGCTCAGCATCAGTTGCTGTTGACTTTTTACTGTTAGCTAGTTGGCCCGACATTGGTAGTCTTGCCATTAAAGTGTTTTACATGTATGTTGGCTCTCACAATGTAGTCAAATAGTGCCCTCTGTAGTTCATGTGAAGAACCAAAAGAATTCCTGACTTCCTTGGAAGAATGAAACAATGCTGTAGCATATACATGTATAAAGATGCTTCACTCTATGTGATCTCAACTCAAATTCTATAAAGTTGAAGCTACAGTCCATCATTTGCAGCTATCCAAAAGTAACTGACGTAATTATTGAAAAAAAAAAACTTGGTTGAAAGATAGTAGGGGGACTAAACTCTCTGTGAAATTATTCTTTCTGACAAGCTGTTGTTTTGAAGAAATCAACGAAAGAAGGCCTTTCCAGAGGTGCGTCTAAAGACGCACTGTTGGAAATTTCTTTTAGTGGCACATGCGCACGCGGTTGCTGTACTTTGTCAGATTGGTGCGCAACATCGTATAGCTGCAATCGGCTCAGTAAGAACGGTCTCAAATGCTGAATTCAGGCCCAATTCAAAACATGATTCAGCAACTTTTGATTTGAAATTGAGATCCTAGAATGGTGTTTTTTTCTTGAAATATACAGCTGAACCTGAGCTGAAACTGCTCAGCACCCCTCTTTAGATTTTGAGCTCGTTTGTTGCTTCAAACAAAATGCACAAGTTACAAATGATGGACTGTACCTTTAAAACAAATTAATTACAAATACACGTAGTGTGTAAAAACAGAATTACATACATTGTTGACACGTCATACATGTTGAAAAATGTTTGTACTTCATGTATTTTGTTGTATTTTAATGAAAGTGTTTTGTCCAGTATTATTTGTGTCAGTTCAGGATTGCCACTATGTTTAAATTTTTCCCATCTTAAAAATAAGTGCAATATTTTATGTTTTTAGACTAGGCAAAAGTGAAACTTGATTGCACTGAACATTTAGAAATACTAGTACAGAGCATATAGTTGATTAAGGAATCAACAAGGGACGTTTTGATAAATTCTTAAGCCTTCAAGTATGTTTCTAGACCATTGACAACTGGCACTCGCGCGTTCACATTATGTACGCGTGCATGCCCATTATCAATGGTCTGGAAATAAGCCACTAGATCTACTTAGAAGCGTAGTTGGTTTTTTTGAATGAGAAATGTATCGAACTGCAGAATGGTGTACAACAAATGTACAAAGACATTGGCTGCACACTATCTATGGCTGTACAGTACCAATGTTTATTAATGCTTTCATTGGCCCAATGTGTGTCCATGTATTATGAATCTTAACAGCGAAGAAAACAGGCCCTACATAATTAACCTGTTTGTTGATAAAGTGTTGGGATAAAAGGGAGGGGGGTAAAATGGGGGATGCAAAGAAAAAACTTGGGGAGGGGGCAGCAACCCTATAGTGTCACCACTGGAAGCAGAACTTGCCAAAAGAAGTTAACGTCACTGTCTACTTGTACGGCCATTTTGATGATGCACATTATATGGTCACAGTTGTAACAGTTAAGCATTATGGGATGTTTTAGCTGAGATCTTATTTACATTGTAGAATGTAGAACGTGTTTGTTATTTTTTTTTTTTAATGGGGAAAAATAAGTACATGTACAATAAACTATGTCACACCGAGCACTGAGAGTAAAAAGTCTTTCCAGTTTCCGTTAGTTTTGACTGCATTTATTTTTTTTCCACAACAGTGATAAATTTGTCTTCAGTCAAACAGTTCAGCAATTTGCTAGTTTGCTTATACCTGGACTTAGAAGTATCAATAATTAGGTTTTTCTCCATGTGTAAGCAATGACTACATAAAATATCATGGCAGAAAATTGAAGTCCATTTAGAATTTATTGAAAAAAAATCAGAGCTGATACAATAGTCGGAGGAGCAAAGAAAGGAGCAAATGAGCAAAATTTCATCACATTTAGAACAAGCACCAGAGAGATTATAAAAAAAAAAAAATTTCATTCATGCAAGCACTTGAAAACGTTTATTACTGAATTCAAAATTATAAAATTATTTTGTTGAATATCACAAGTGCCTTCATTTTCAACGGATTTGTGACAATAGTTCTCAGGGCTTGTATATCCAAGGGTAAGCCCTAAGCTTTCATGTTGGCTACTTGTAACGTTAAAAACAAAGAGACCCTACTTGCATCTGAAATGTGCATTTTGTGAAAACATTTAAAATTTGGCACTCAAATCTTCACCGGCAAGTATCTGATTGGCTTGTTGAACACGTCCTCTCAGTTTCAAATCTATCTCAACATCAACAGTTTGTTTTCCATCAGTCTTTGGAAGCACAAAGTGAAGCAGGAATAAGCGGAGACTATCACGGAAAATGCGAAGCTTTGGCAACAAGATGACTGCACTGAACACGGCCAATACAGACTTCTGGGATGGACTTAGAAGGAGCGATCTTAAAGTTTGACGAAGAAAGCGAACAGTTGTCTTATCAATGTCTGCAAACTCTATCACCTGAAAATAAAATAAGTGGTAACATAAAACAAAATAAAATCAAGGTCAAGTTCATCAGTCATGTCACCGACTTCTTAATACTGTTGGCTAAATTCCCTTAATGTTTGTTTATTTTAAACCATGGATTTAATAAGAGACAGCTCGTGTGCAGAGCCACACAATGAACGTATGATCTTTTTAGCATGCAAACTTAAATGCGACCCCACACGCCAGCCAATTGGAGTCAACCACTCGAAATTGTGACGTCATTTTGAAAATGTGGACTAAGCTGCTGATCAATCCATTTGGCTACCATGTTTTTGTAAAACAACAACAGATTACTGAAGACCCGATAGAAGGCACCAGCTGAATGGTCATAATTATTCATAATATTTTGCATAATTTATCACTGAATCTGCTCCCATATCATCATCGGCACCATGAACTGAACTATTTTACAGAACCGGTATCTTTTGGGTTTCACAAACTGACATCCTAGTAGTGCAGCACTACATTTTCGGTTTTACCAATTAAAATGTTTTTTAATTAAATTTTTTGTGTCATCAGTGTCTGAGGTGCACACCATTGCCGGGTGAAACTGATATTGTTGATTACGTGGTTTTCATGAACTGACGCCCACCTGCGCGTGTCAGTTCGTGGTGCCGATGACGATATCATAAACCCTTGCTGTACAAGGGGATGTTCCACAGACTACACTGGATTGTCTGAAGTGGGGGGGGGGGGGGTTGTATGAAACAAATGCACGTGTCTGGTGATCTGCTAGAAATATAAGGAAAAATATGAATATTATATAAGTACATCCATTCCCATTTGAAATTCTCCCAGAACTTTAATATCGGACATAAATGGATACTTTTTGGCCAATTTTTGTGTACAGAGGTTAGGGCCCGCTCCAAAAAGAGGATGGCAAAGGGCCTCAGTTGGGGAGAAGGGGGGGGGGGGGAACTGTCATGAGTGGGGAAAATCATTTGCAGATATTCCAGAAACCGTATTACCTTCAATACAGATATGGAGATTGCTTTGGACAACAACATGTGGCTGATGAGATGAGCAAGGTTGCTTTGGCTACTGCTGGACATCTCAGTTAGAATCTTGAACTTGTCCCAGAAAGCAAACTGGAAAGCCATCTGCACGTAAAACAAATCCAAATAGTAAAATGCGTGTCTATAGTATATGAGTATATGCAATTGCTTAAAGAATACCAATCTACAGCGCGTCTCAAAATACCCACAGCATTATTTTGCAAGGCTCTAGCGTTGCTGCGGAAACATGTACCACCATTGTTTTATATCTGGGGTTTTGAATAATTACCTTATTTTTTCTGTCATGCTGGCAGAGTTTGGTGCCAAGATGAGCATAGTATGGATTGAAGGATGCTTCTTGCAGGCAGCAGTTGATGGTGACATGGACGACTTCCCTCTCTTGACCTGACTTCAAACTCAGATGCAAAATCTTCTCGTAAGCATCCAGGTAGTCCTGCAAAGTAAATTAAATGAAAGATTGAAACTACCAAAGACAGATGCATACCTCAAAAAGCTGTACCTTAAAAAAAGAAGAGAATAATCATCCTTTTAAACTAATTGAGGCGCAACAAAGTTTCATTTATCAGATGGAGGGCAGCCAGATGGAAATGACAGCCCACCAGAAACATCCAGATCAAATCCTGAGCTTGATGATTATGACAGGACATTAACTGATTATGACATGATGAGGCAGAGCCATCAACAAATGATCCAGACTCTATATACAACCAGCGACGGCGACTGGAAAATTTGTCTTTTTTGTTTTTATTTCCACTGTCTCTCTTTCATAGTTTGAAAATCATTTATTTAATAAATCTTGTTCCAATGTGGCTATTAAATGAGCCTTATAAGTTACAGTCTTATATCCAGTGGGTTTGTAAAAATTCTTGCGGGCAAGCAAAAAGCTTAGGTAACCTGCCTGGTAGGCTAGTTAAAAAAGAGCTTAAGGTCAAGGCCTGAAGATGTGACAAGTTTTGCTCCCATATATGTGTGCTGCCTGGGTATGTGGCATACACTACATACACCCCGAGGAACAAGAGACAAAGGGAGAACAACAGATTCTTTGTTGACCTCGATCGTTCATTTTCTGTTGAAAATGGTCCTTGATCATGCGTTGATGTGCTTTGTCTATGGGAGAGTGTTATATTGCAGGGACAATGGAAAAGGCAATGGCTTGTCCATGGGAGGTATGCAAAACATGACTGTGTGAACAGTACAAATGGTATCAATTATGAATTAACAAACATTTGGAATTATATCAAACCTCTGCTGTCATGACGACCCTGAATATGGCCTTTCTCAAATCTGTATTCATTCGCTGTTGCCGTGACAACTCAGTGATCATGTGACTGGTCTCATCATCAATGCCTGGCTCTTCTGAAGACTTGTCTTGCTGCATTGCCATTGGTTCGTTGCCAGCCCATGATGAGCCAATAATCCACCAGCGTCCTCGCTCTTCTACGCTCAGAAGATGTTCCAGAGAAATCTGGAGTGTAGCATCAGAATCAGTATGGCCTAAAATGAAGAAAGAAATATCAAGTGTTTCAGTTATTTATTTGTCCCATGCATCCTCAACAGTCGTGCCAGAGCTACAGAACTGTTCTTCTCAGGTCCAAGTGATGAAATTAAGGATATGATAGTTACAGAAAAAGTCTAGGAAAGAGTTCACATTAATGTTTGGCTAAGATTTACAGGCCTTACAACTGGCCAAACCACAGTTAAGTTATACCCCCTAATACGTCAGGCCCTTCCAACTGTTTTGCTGGGCAACAACAGGTGCACCTCTCCAAGATGCCACAATGTTTGTTCTGGACACTTGCGTCGTACGTATGCGAATGTATGCGTGCTAGTAAATTATGCAGTGGTCGGTTTACAAACAAGACACCTGACTAACCTTTAGCCTTGATGAGAGCCCTCAAGATCTTCCTCATGTGGTCCAACTGGGCGGGATCATAGTTGGGGATTTTCCGGACATTGTTGTTACGCACTGCATAAATGGTTTCTAGCATGAACTTGACACGAGACCTGGACAAAAAGACAATGTAGGGCCCGATATAAAAGCAAACTCCAATGAACTGCAAGGGAAGGGAGTTGCTGCCAATAATGACTCCTCACTTAAAAGGAAAAAGGGAAAGTTAATTAAGAAGGAATAAAAAATGACTTTAGTTTGTTAGTAGACATTGGAAGAAGCCTACCGGTAGGCACTGTAGGAAACACAATACTTTGGAGAAATTTATTCATAATATACATATATCATGAAAACATCGCTCCCACATATGGATTATGTTAGATGCTGTTCAGTTTTGCCTTTTTTAATACTACTGACATTTGGTTACTCACTGTTGTTGGAATTCTTCGGAGCAGGTCTTGGCCGTGGTCTGAATTTGCAGGATAATCTCTTTCAAAGCTGAAGGGTCATCCTTTCGTAACATCAATCCTGAGTCTAGAAAACAATTTATCAAATGGTATAAATACATAATTAGTACAACAGATTAGGATCTTTATAATTCTGCAATTTTAGCATCCACACAACAATTCTCTTTTAAATTTTACAACTACAGCACACTTTCTTTAAACAGATCAGGTACAAAGACAATTGAACTCACTTTTCAAAACAAGGAGCAGCATTTCAATATCTCGCTCGGTAAAGCCTGCTACAAGTTTACGGATGATGTCATACATCAAAGTGCAATGAATTACCTAATGGATATAATACAAAATAAGGAAATAAAAACAAAAATAAAACAATTCAATAACGTTCAAAATGTCAAATAAATTGTTTTCCGTATTCCAATTGGTGTGTGCTCAGAAAATATTAATTAACCCTAACCCCCTTGAGGATTTACTTTGAACCTTTTTCACTCTTTTGCAAAATGCAGCACCATAGGGTAAGTCAACAGCAAAACTGTCTGACTCTGATTATTGGTGGTATGCCTTACTCCATGTAAAGCATCATCAGTTTACCAGTGCAGTACTCGCTCCAACAGATTCCAACAAAACGTGCATTTTGATTTTGAAGAGTTAGGGGTGGTTAGGGTTAAGAGCAGTAATAAACACCATGTATTCTGACCCAACACACATTCATCTATAATTGTCCTTGGGGTTAATATCATGATTACAAAGTGGAATTCCTGACTTCTCAACTTTAAGGCAATTCATTTGCTCACTGTAAATGCATGCCTACGTTTTTACATCATTTCCTTTTAAAAGCACTAAAATAGAACTCGATTTTGAAATATCCTCACTTTGAAGTTGTAGAGATGAATGAAAAGCAGGATGACATTGTCGCATTGTTTACCATGGCCATAGTTACCGCCTTGTTTGTAGAGATCATCCAGCTTTCTTGCTAAGGTCTCAATAAAATGAGCACCTAAAATAGAACAACAAAATGCATTTCTACTCTTGTCAACAATGATGCTTTAACTGAGAAATTAGCAAATTTATTCGAATACCTTTTAATTTGTGACTTGTCTGTCTCTCTGGAGTAACAAATGTACATGCATGAAAGCCTGTTTATCATTGACCACCTGTATTGTAAAGACTATCTGCATATCTGTCCAGTCTGGATTGATATTTCACGACACGTAAACTTCACAGGTGATGACAACATCAAATAAGACATTGCAAGGTGCAGCGATGAAACTTACCAACTTCCATACCGATGTTAAGATTGAGTACAGCAATCAGCATGGTATGTTCCATCACTAGTCTGTCGCCAGTTAAGATGGGCCCAATGCACGAGTCCAGCACCACCTGGGTTAATGTTTCATTCATATCTGAAAACAAATGGCATAAAAACAGGAAAATGTTGTCAGAGACACACATACTGTACTTTTTTATTCACCAACTGCCTTTTACCGTGGCTAATTACTCGACAAAAAGTGTGTATTGCTGCACTGTGTCTACTTCCATTTCTGTGTTCACCCAACTCTATCTTATATGATAGTGATACCTGAATTTTCATGAATTTACATACATGTACATGTACATTGATTATTCTGTGAGCCAAAGTTAAAAGCCAGATGGCACACTGGACACACACAACACTTTTTTTCTGCACAGTCGTGAATTTCTATACCCCCGAGGATAAATGCTTTGTGTTTCCCTTTGTCCCTGCAATATACATCTAACACTTTTTTTCTGCACATAGTCGTGAATTTCTATACGCCAGAGGATAAATGCTTTGTGTTTGCCTTTGTCCCTGTAATAAACATGTAACACTCTCCCATAGACTAAGCATTTAACCGTATGATCGAGGACCGTTTAAAAAAAAAAAAAACGCTCGAAAAGGATTTTTTTGTTCTCCCTTTGTGTGTCTGTCCTCTATTGTAAAGACACATGTGTATAACTGTTTCATGATCACATGCATGATCTTTAATCCTCATAGACCTTATGAGCAGCGGCAGTGTCCGAGAGATTTTTTTTGCTATTTTTAATTTGTAATCCAATAAAACTGAATGCACAACTTGTTTATGAATATCCCAGCAAACAAAGCCGCTACATTTGAAGACGGTTGCTGCACATACATGTAAGGTCTACTGAAAATTTGCACTGCTCAACATCCTTTAAATGTAACGCAACAGTTTTTGGCGAAGCTCTAGTGTTGTCGCAAAAACACATACCGCCATTATTTTACATATTTTAAAGCTTGGAACATTACCCTTATACCTGGTTATACTAGCAACATCACATTCTGTTGCATTAGGATTATAATGATCAATTTAAAGAGTAATAGATCTCTCTTACCATTGCGGCTGTGACTCTGATACAATTCTTCAATCTGTCCAGCGATTGACTGTATGTTAGATTCACTCAATCTGATTGAAAAGAACAAACAGCAAAGAAAATGGTCTGACCTTCATTGTAGATACATGTACTAGCAGTATTTTTATGATTTTATGGGTTGCATGTCCTGATAACAGGGCTCAGGGGAAGGGGGGGGGGGCATTTCTTTGGCAACCGATGGAGTGAATCTGCTAAAATAAAACATTAAATAAAATGAAAAAAATCTATTTGTGGCAGTGATCAAGACATCTACATGTGTAGGCGTGTGCCATGTCATTCTGTGACATTTCGTACAAGAAAAATACCTGATCTGAGTTTGCTTAATTTTTTCTGTCTTCGTCCCTGTTCTGAACTAGTCTGCATGCTCTGCTGTTCAAAAGACAGCACATATATGCACTTAAACAACTCTCATAGACAGCCATCTTCGTAGCAAAATTACAACTGCGTATTCAATGCCATCAGGTACGTGTGCACAAGTTGCTCGCGATGTTTGCAGGCGATGTTTGCACAAAAATTTGACAAACAAAATGCTGATACCTAGACAATCTGTAGGAAGTGACGTCATTTGAGAGAGACCTATAACAATTACCTGTTGATCAAGCCTTTTAGCTGTTTCCGTAATCTGTCCAGCTGTTCTTGCTTCTTTTCACAATATCCAATCATCTTGGCTCGTTTCTGAGGAGGTATGTAGGATCCTGTGTTCTGCAAATTTGTTTCACCAATGATATTGCCATAGGGATCCATCTTCTGCCCGGAGGACTTTTTTTGTACGCTTTCCTGACTTTGAGTCCTACAATTGTTCTCTGCTTGTACATGTTTTCTTTTCTGAGAGTTTATTGTTCTATGGTCCGGAGAATTTGTGTCAGTTTCAGAATGGATATTCTCAAAACACTCTTCCAATTCTTCCTCTTCATCATAGTCACTTTCACCTGAATTATCTTCATCTATGGCAGGTTCGTCACAATCTTTACTTACAGTGATTTTATGATTCTGATGAGAGTCAGTATCGACTGGTTTCTTTTTGAAATCAAGTGTTGCACGGTTGTCATTTTCACTGTCTGTGTCACTATTGGCATCACTGTATTCATCACTCTCACTGCCCGCATTAACAAGGTCATCATAAGTTTTATCCGGAGCTGTTTCCGTGTAGTCATGGTAGTCCTGATCCACAAGGTCCAAAAGATCTTTCAATAAATATTTTAAGTTAAGGGCAAGTTTTAGGAATAACAAAAACTATTTCCCACTGCATTACAGACAGTACCAACATACATGTAGAAGGATCATATTCAAATCGTTTAACATATTCCTTGTGGCCAGCAAGTTTTAGGAATAACAACAACTACATGTATTTCCCAGTGCATTACAGACAGTGGCCCGTGCCCAGTTCCATCTCATTTTGCCAGAATGCCTCAAATTTTTCACAACTCCCTTGCTATTTTCTGATCTTTAAAAAAAACTTGAGTAAAAGGATACAGTCAAGTCCCTCTGCTTTGAAGATAGATGGCATTATCTTCTTATCTGTCTTCCTATTTTTCCTGAAATTCATGTCCTTTTCTATTTTCTTTATGCTTCTCTCATCTTCTCGGTTAGCTAACGCTAATTCTTCCTCTCTCCTTGCTGCATCTTTCTCCTTGGGAAAAAAACAAAACATCCTAAATTGAATTTACATGTATACACTTGAGACTTTGCTGGCTAACTTTTTAGAAAGTAAGCACAAAGGCTATCTTATAAGCCTTATAAGGAGATGACCATAACCATTATGATTTGATTGATGCGAAAGGTCATATTCAGCTGATGCCTTCTCGGGAACCTCTGATGGTCACCTTCCACGCATCCCGGTCCAGCATCAGCGTCCTCAGCTCAGTGGTACATCTTATTGCGCTGTGTCCCTCTTCAGCTGGTCGACGTACGAGAGTCTCCTCCTGCCCCTTCTCCTACATGACGCATACAGTGGCCTGCCAGCCTCATCCACGTATACATGTACATGTATTAAGATAGTTATTCTTTATCAAATGGTGTGCTTTCAAAACGTTTTAAAACTACAGTATATGGGCAATTTATTTTATACATTAGCAGACATGTTTCTTTCTGACCGAAAAGCGTGGAACTAGAAGTAAACATGTAAAAATGATATGCTCTTTAGTGAATATTTGAATAAATTGTGATCTTTTTGAGAAACGTTTTTTGCCAAGTAGTAAGCAAACATTAGAAACAACTTGGGTCAAAACAATTGATTCAAAATGTGAAATATTCTTGGAAACAATTCTTGCTATCATGTATTCCATTTTTTCCTTGCATGAAAGAAGATCATTTTGATACTGTACATGCAACTGAGCGAAGTTTTTCTTAAAAGAACCAGAGGTATACACTCAACGTTCCGGTCAGAGCATACTGACCAGAAAGTCGAGTTTATACCTCTGGTTCTTTTCAGAACCATTCTCTTAGTTGAGAAAATATTCGCACATGGTGTTTCCACAAACCTTTCATAATTTAGTTTCTCCACCATGCAAAGCCTCCAATCTTACTTAAAGTCTTACTTCTTTGAGCTTTAATGCTCTGTTGCGTTTTTTGCGCTTGTTCTTCTCTCGGTTCTTCCCTGGTGTTCTTGACTCGTTGTGTGATGAACCCACAGAAAGATTAGCTGACGTGTTACTCTCAAATGCATCCTGTAATGAGAAGAACACAAACTTCGACAGCACTGTATAGCATGCATACAGATTATCCTTGGTCAAGGTGTTCGATGATGAAGTCCGATAATGGTTGACTGCAAACAATGCGCTCAAGTCGCACGTACCGTGCGCTATGCAAGTCAGGTGGGACCAAATGGACGTTTTTGAACAACCACAGCAATGACCTATCTTTTTTGGCGCTTTTCGTTATTTTGTCACTAAATTTGTATTGACTTATATTTGGTCTGCAGACTCCTAACATATTGGAGAATGTATTACAGCCACAATATCCAAAACTATGTCCATGTAAGAATGAGCCTCCAGGACCGTGCACTAAATACTAATCTCATCTTTTTTTTGCATCAGGGTCGTCGCTGGAAATCGAGCAACAAAACAAAAACATACTGGAAGTGACACTTACACAATCCCTTGCATCCTGGCAGTTTGTATACATGTAACTGTACAGACAGGCAGTTAGTAATGACAATTTTCAGAGTACCTAACGAAAATGGAATGTGTCATAACTAGCAACAGGGATAGGCAATCAACTTAGTAAGACAGGTAGAACAAGGTTAGTGTTTTGTATTGGGTAATGCGGAATGAAGATGGGAGCCTGGAATGGAAGTAGAACGTTGTTAGGGCACTGATGATACGTATGTGATCAGCAATGATAGATTGTTCATGATAAATATTTCTTGCGACCTCAGTGAGGCGTATCAGTGTTGTGTGACTGGAAGCAGTGGAGCAAGTGAAGGATGCAACATTGGGCTGGGGAATCTGGCTGATCATTGAGGCATGTCAGTATGGAGGAAAGGAGTGTAGAGGAAGGTTGCCAAGGGGAAAAGGTGTCCTTGGGTATAGAAAACCAGAAGCTGTGTTGGGGCGCCGCGCCAGATGTCACTAACGAGAAGTCTTCAGGTTTGATGGCCTCTCTGATGCGACTGGGAACCAGTGCACTGGTTCCCTTCAGTCTCCTGGCGATAGATAGATTATATTGTCGGAAGTGTTGACGTTCCTCTGGTTGTTTTCAGAACCACACAAACTCCTAAATGAGATTTGTCACACGGTGCTAAGTACTGTAAATCTTGATCTTACTGTCCTAAAATGTTTGTGAATATTTTACTTACCAACTTCTTTTTATGGAAGGCATCAACATGGGCTTTTTTAATCTTCCTTTCTTGCTTTCGTTTCTCCTTCCTTGTCATCACTTGCTTGTTTTTTGCGTTCGTGTTAGAACCCTGCGCTTTCTTATCATCACTTTGTAGAAGCATTTTGTGAATGGCAGTCTTGGCACGGCTTAAGTTCCGAGGCCCTCGGCTTTTGCCTGTTGGTTTTACTGTTAGTGATGACTTCATTGTTCATGTACTCTATAAATTGAATGTAAAATAAGACATGACATGAGATTTAGATTACATGTACGAAACTTCTCAATGCGTTACAGCCTAAAGATATGAAATTGATCTCAATACCATGAACCCGCAAGACATGCTAAATCACTTGGCACCACTGTAAACCGCGTATGGAAATCGTAATTTTTACCCCTTCTTAATCTGAAGAGGTACTGTCCAACACTCCCTGCGTTGCTCTGCAACAATTGAAAGTAATCCGGAATGTTCAAAAATTACAAAAAATTGTGTCATGATGTTGAGAGAAATCTGCTATAGGTTGAAAGGGGCTGTATCATAAGTCTGACGACTCATAGGTCCGACGCCTCTTAAGTCCTAAATTTCGGCGTCTGACTTACATGTATGAGGCATAAAATTGATATTCCACCTCATAGGCCGACACTTCATAAGTCCGACATCTCACAAATCTGACGTCAGAAAAATGAGGCGTTGTATTTTTCGGACCTACGAGGCATTGGAGCTACATGTACAAGGCGTCGGAGCTATGAGGCTTTGGACGTACAGGTATGAGGCGTCGGACCTATGAGGTGTGGGACTTATGGGCCTTTATTTGGTTAGGGGATGTGATTTTGTTGGACTTTTGAGGTATCAGACCTAAGAGGCATTGGAATTATGAGTGGACCCCGGTTGAAATGATAATTTTTTAGTAATAAAAAATACAATTGACTTTACCGCCACAAATGTGGCCAATTTATTGGACTAAGTACTGTAAATAAGACCCACACTTAGAACATGTACCAGAAAAAGGACAACTTTGTCAAATTTTGATTTTCACATTGAGACTATAAAATGTAGTTTATTTACACTTTAGAAGCACACTCACTCTCTAAATAGCGATCATGGCGACAGAAAAGAAGTCCGGCCATTCTCAGATGTCTATTTTTCATGTTACTTCCAGGTTTGTTTGCACACGTATGCGTACGCGGGTACGGTATGTACTTCGCTCGTATCCCCCGCCCTGTTTGCAGGGCAGGAGGTACAAACAAAGGTATGAACATAGATGTTTTTAAAAAAATAGAGGGCGGTATACAGAGTGACTGGGCATGAAGTAAATTGTGATAAATAGAGGGCGCTATAGAAAGTGAATTATTAACAAATATGTAGTATTATACCAAGTGTGAGACAGCTTGGGATGTCTTGGATGCGTGGATGCACGGATGTGGGGTGGATGAGCATGAAGTCATCAATAGAGGGCGCTTTATTTACCCCAGGACCCTGTGGTAAATCTAAAACCAACCCCAACCTACCCACTCATGGATGCGTGGATGCGGGTGGGCATGAAGTAAATTATTCAATAGAGGGCACTTTACTGGATGCTTGGATGCGTGGATGACGGATGCGGGGTGGGCATGAAGTAAATTTTAATCAATAGGGGGCGCTTTATTGGATGCGCAGATGCGCGGATGCGGAGTGGGCTTGAAGTAAATTTTAATCAATAGAGGGCGCTATAGAAAACCGACTGCACATCCACGCAGCCATTGATGCGCGGATATTAGAATGGAGTGGCCCTGTAATGTCATATCGTCAACATGGACTAGCAGATATAAAATTGAATTTGAAAATGTGCCATTTTGTCCCCGTAACATACATTGAATGTAATACACTACCATTTGTCATGGGTGATCGTGAAGTGAAGGGCCCCTGTTTTATTTTGATCAAATTAGAGTCAAAAATATTTTCTGTTGCTCAAAAATCACCTTTACAATCAAAAGAAGACTTTTCTCAATTCTAGTGACACTCGTTTTGCAATTTTGAACAGATTCTTTAGTGTTCTTGGGGTAGAAAACACAATTTTCCTGCGCGGCTTGTGCCTTGCGATTCAGCGCACCGTGCGTGCTCAATATCGCGTGGTGACCGCCATCTTTATTTTCAGGTCGCGTGTTGTCGCCGCGCTGTCATCGTCATTTTACCCCCAAATTTCCCTAAAAAAAATCAAAACCCTGCCCTCTATCTACGACATACCTGTTTATTGAGAATGTCGCCAACTAGTTTGGTAGGTCAAATAATTTTTAAAGTGGATTTTGTTCCCTTATATAGGGTATAGGAACCGGGCCCTTCACTTCACGATCGCCCTTGTCATGCTTGTCATGTTGTCATGTTTGTCCACCTTGGACTCACCCAAACCTTGCCTGCGTCCGGCATGTAACCACTACATTAGGTTTTTGAAGTAAATAACCATCCACGATTAAGATTCAGCTACAAGTGTAGTGACAAAGGAGGCATTACCGATGTCACGCCCCAACTATCGCATCGGTCCCAACTATAGTTGGGCCTGTCCCAACTATAGTTGGGCCTGTCCCAACTGTAGTTCCACAGTTGGGCTGGCCCAACTATAGTTGGGCCTGTCCCAACTATAGTTGGGACGGTCCCAACTGTAACTTCCATTGTTGGGCTGGCCCATCTATAGTTGGGCCACTCCGATCTTTTTATTTTGCGGTGTCCCAACTATAGTTTACATTGATGTACAACCATAAAACGTTCCCTACAGCTCTGATACACGTCTGACTTTACTGGGGACCACTGAAATTAGCTATTGATGGGGCGAATCTATAGTTGGGCCACCCCAATCTTTTTATTTTGCGGTCCCAACTATAGTGTACATTGCTGTACGATTATAAAACATTCCCTACAACTCTAATACACATCTGACTTTACTGGGGACCAATGAAATGATCTATGGGTGGGGACCATCTGTAGTTGGGCCACCGCCAATATTTTTATTTGGCAGTCTCAACTATAGTTTACATTGATGTACGATTATAAAACATTCCCTACACTACAGCTCTGCTTACATGTCCGACTTGGGACCTTTGACATTAGCTATGGGTGGGGCCCATCTATAGTTGGCCGGCCATGGCAATCTTTGAATTTTGCAAAATGTTGCTGGATAATAAAACCCAGCAGCTGGACAACTCATCCAACTAGGCAGTACCACGTGACCGGCCAGCCTTGTGGCATGCATGCACGACGAATACACGGTGCCAGCGCCGCGGAACATGTAATCCAACAAGATCTATCATGAAGCATCCGGCGCAACTCCAGTCCTAACTATAGTTGGGCCGACCCAACTGCCGCACTATAGTTGGGACAGTCCCAACTATAGTTGGGACCGATGCGATAGTTGGGGCGTGACACCGACAGCCGATCAAGTCAGCGTCGCCGGCCAGAGCCGCCAATTGATTTGTGCACAAACAACATTCGTGTACAAAAGGAATGGCAAGAAACCTGCATAAATTAGGCCTACGCCTACGCCAAGTTTCGTTGTAATACGCGATCTATCTACTTCATTAAAATGTGCTAGAATCACTAATATATTGAAATATTTAATTCATATCATTCATAAATGGTCATTCGATCAAAAAAGAGGATTTTTACCTGTGATGAAAGTGAGCGAGCACGGAGCAGTGCACCGCTGCGCAGTCCACATGTGTAGTTGTCGGCGTGTCATCGCTTGGTGGCGCTGTCACATACTGCGCTTGGATACTTCGCTCGTACCCCGTACCCCCGCCCCCCTTTGGAGGGCGGGAGCACTGGGCGGTTATGGGTGATAGTGAATGGTTTTGTGGTTCGCCGCCGCGCCGCCGACGGTGGATATAATTTTTTTTTCAAACAACATCAGCATTACATGGTTGTTGAGCGCCCTCTACGATACTTAATTATTCGCAGGTATAATAAGATTTTTTTTTTTTAGTGCGATATCTCCAGTAGAAAGCTCATAACTTGTAGAACATTATCAATTCCATTTGAATTTTTTTTTTTTGGGGGGGGGGAAAAACAATTAAACCACACTCAAATAAACACATTTATGCACCAACTTTAAAGCTACAGTCCATCATTTGTAATTTGTGCATTTTGTTCGTTTGAAGCAACAAGAGAGTTCAAAATCTAATGAAGGATACTAAGCAACTAACCTGATGAAGTTTGAGCTAAGCTTCAGCTGTACATTCCGAGAAAAACAACATTCTTAGATCTCAATTTCAAATCAAAAGTTACTGAATTATGTTTTGAATTGTTTTGAATTGCAGCTATACGCGACGTCGCGCACTGATCCGACTAATTACAACAACCGCGCGCGCGTGTGCGTCGTTCCAATACTTGTGCGCGCTGCGCTGAATAACAAAACGAACTACTAATTTAAATTTTCCTACGGTGCTTCTTAAGAATCACCGTTGGAAATGCCTTCTTTCGTTGATTACTTCAAAATGACAGTTTCCCAGAAAGAATAACTTCAAAGGGAGTTTAGTTCCCTTACTATCTTTCAACCAAGTTTGTTTTTGAACAATAATTACACCAGTTACTTTTCGGATGGCTGCAAATGATGGACTCTAGCTTTAAACAAAAATAGATGGAAGAGATTATGAAAGAGATTAGATTACTAACTGAGTAATACATGACGTATTATCGGATTTCCTGGCCATTTTGTGGGAACATGTATTTTTTCCCCTTTAATTTTGATGAACTTCAAGATTGTAACAATTTTCGGCGTGTTTTTCCCTTAAATGTTGTTTTGGGGAGGGAGATGCTTTAAATTTTTATAAAATCGGGTAATGTTTTGGTTAAAATAGAGTACCTTTGTTAAGATTTTGTTGCAAGGACAGTCACCCTTCCAAGCACAATCTTCCCTGGTATTTAGTCTCCTCAATAAAACTTTAAAATCACTGTAACTACTGTACATTCAACTGAAAAGAAAGTATCCCCTTCCAATACTTTTTTGTTTAAGTCAAAAGCTACTAAGCACATCTCGCTGAACTTAACGACTAATCGGTACAGAAATTCCTTAGCAATCCAGCCATAATCTCCCCCCCCCCAAAAAAAAACAGTGATGAGTACATGAATGTTTACAATTTTATGAAAAATGATACAGAAAACAGTTGCACTTTTGTATTCGTGCAAGTTGTGGTTGACACTCACCTCGCACGTGCAACTTTTGTTCTCGGTACCACTTGTCATAAATTGCATAATTTGATACACATTATCACTATTTTGGCCAAAAAAAGAGAGTATGGCTGGATTGCTAAGGAATTGTGGTACTGATCAGTCGTAATTTGAGCAAGACGTGTCCAGCATTGTTTTTGAGTATCCCAAAATATTTTTGTAAACAAGTGTATATGTAATTGGTTGGGCAAATGATTATTATTGTGCTTCAGTGGAAATGGAAAGTAAAATTTTTGTGATTGTTCAAGTGTTTTGTAGTGAAAATGTTAGTCAGTTGAAAAAAACTTTGATATTATTGTCTTCCCAAAAAGTCGATAAATGACAAGCTAGTGTACATTGCAAAATGTTGTTCAATAAATGGTGCCTGCAAAACGGAAAGGGTGAAAAAGTAAACCTAATCAGGGTAGGAATTATTATTGACTTGTTGATCAAAGTGGGAGTTTGTAGGGAAATAGGTTATGAATATTACAATGTCATCGAGCATGCGCAGTTGTAGAATCAAAGCTAGTGTTGATTAAAAAAAATTGGCAAATAGTGATTGTGGAACTGTGAAAAAAGGGCCATATATAAATAGACTTGACCTCGGGTGGGTGGGTGGGGTTAACGAGGAGGGGGGCATGAAGCAATGGGATAAGTAACACGACCTAGGGTTTCTAGGGTTTCTAGGGTTTCTAGGGTTTCTAGGGTTTCTAGGGTTTCTAGGGTTTCTAGGGTTTCTAGGGTTTCTAGGGTTTCTAGGGTTTCTAGGGTTTCTAGGGTTTCTAGGGTTTCTAGGGTTTCTAGGGTTTCTAGGGTTTCTAGGGTTTCTAGGGTTTCTAGGGTTTCTAGGGTTTCTAGGGTTTCTAGGGTTTCTAGGGTTTCTAGGGTTTCTAGGGTTTCTAGGGTTTCTAGGGTTTCTAGGGTTTCTAGGGTTTCTAGGGTTTCTAGGGTTTCTAGGGTTTCTAGGGTTTCTAGGGTTTCTAGGGTTTCTAGGGTTTCTAGGGTTTCTAGGGTTTCTAGGGTTTCTAGGGTTTCTAGGGTTTCTAGGGTTTCTAGGGTTTCTAGGGTTTCTAGGGTTTCTAGGGTTTCTAGGGTTTCTAGGGTTTCTAGGGTTTCTAGGGTTTCTAGGGTTTCTAGGGTTTCTAGGGTTTCTAGGGTTTCTAGGGTTTCTAGGGTTTCTAGGGTTTCTAGGGTTTCTAGGGTTTCTAGGGTTTCTAGGGTTTCTAGGGTTTCTAGGGTTTCTAGGGTTTCTAGGGTTTCTAGGGTTTCTAGGGTTTCTAGGGTTTCTAGGGTTTCTAGGGTTTCTAGGGTTTCTAGGGTTTCTAGGGTTTCTAGGGTTTCTAGGGTTTCTAGGGTTTCTAGGGTTTCTAGGGTTTCTAGGGTTTCTAGGGTTTCTAGGGTTTCTAGGGTTTCTAGGGTTTCTAGGGTTTCTAGGGTTTCTAGGGTTTCTAGGGTTTCTAGGGTTTCTAGGGTTTCTAGGGTTTCTAGGGTTTCTAGGGTTTCTAGGGTTTCTAGGGTTTCTAGGGTTTCTAGGGTTTCTAGGGTTTCTAGGGTTTCTAGGGTTTCTAGGGTTTCTAGGGTTTCTAGGGTTTCTAGGGTTTCTAGGGTTTCTAGGGTTTCTAGGGTTTCTAGGGTTTCTAGGGTTTCTAGGGTTTCTAGGGTTTCTAGGGTTTCTAGGGTTTCTAGGGTTTCTAGGGTTTCTAGGGTTTCTAGGGTTTCTAGGGTTTCTAGGGTTTCTAGGGTTTCTAGGGTTTCTAGGGTTTCTAGGTTTCTAGGGTTTCTAGGGTTTCTAGGGTTTCTAGGGTTTCTAGGGTTTCTAGGGTTTCTAGGGTTTCTAGGGTTTCTAGGTTTCTAGGGTTTCTAGGGTTTCTAGGGTTTCTAGGGTTTGGGTTTAGGGTTAGGGTTAGGGTTAGGGTTAGGGGTTAGGGTTAGGGTTAGGGTTAGGGTTAGGGTTAGGGTTAGGGTTTAGGGTTAGGGTTAGGGTTAGGGTTAGGGTTAGGGTTAGGGTTAGGGTTAGGGTTAGGGTTAGGTTAGGGTTAGGGTTAGGGTTAGGGTTAGGGTTAGGGTTAGGGTTAGGGTTAGGGTTAGGGTTAGGGTTAGGGTTAGGGGTTAGGGTTAGGGTTAGGGTTAGGGTTAGGGTTAGGGTTAGGGTTAGGGTTAGGG